TAATACTGTTCATTTCTGTTATCTGGGCTTTGCAAAGGCAATTAGGGCAACAATCTCTTACGGGTGGGCCTTAGAGTACTAAGATGTTGATTTCTCCTGTCTTTGCATTTCCTTCCAGCCACAATCATTCTATGATCTTCTATGGGATTCCTTTTTTTTTTTTAAATTTTATTTATTTATTCACGAGAGACAGAGAGGCAGAGACGCAGGTAGAGGGAGAAGCAGGCTCCATGCAGGGAGCCCGATGTGGGACTCAATCCTGGGTCTCCAGGATCACGCCCTGGGCTGAAGGTGGCGCTAAACTGCTGAGCCACCCGGGCTGCCCCTATGGGATTCCTTTTCTCTTCTCTCCATTTCACTGTAACAGAGTCTGAAGAATATATAATATTTATTAGTATTCCCTGACATACAAATCCTTTAAAGGATATTTCTTAAGAGGAGATGGGATGGAGCCAACCGTGAGAAAAGATAAATAGAGAAAGTTTTGAAGAGAATAGTTCACATGACAGCCTAGTGAGAATGACACCCAGCAGAGAACTGAGATAGATGATAAAAGGAAAAGCAGTGCCTGACACAGAGGATACTCAAGAGCTGTTTGGGGACTGGAAGAATAAACAGTAACAGGAGAATAAAATACCAGGATTCTAAAGGTGGAACAGACATTTCCCAGCTACCTTGATTCCCAGACTCAGCATATATTTAATAGATAAACATCTAATACATATTATTTATGTAAATTCAAATGCTAACTACAACCCTGAATGATAAAGTAATTCATGGAAAACACCCTAGTCCAGGACTTGGCACACCTAAAATACACAGATGAACTTTTTTTTTTTTTTTTACATTTTGAAGACAGAGCAAAGATTAGGTCAAAAGCATCGCCTTCCTAAAATTAACCCATAGATCCTATGCCACATGACTGCCTAGACTAGGCCTAGTATTCGGCCAAGATTAATTGCTCCAATTCCAAACTCAGGACTTTTCTTTTCCTGTTCCCTTTCCCTGACAGCTTAGAACTCCTGGGCTCCATCTCTAAGCAACTGTTTTGTTTTTTTTTGAAGATTTTATTTATTTATTCATGAGAGACACACACACACAGAGAGAGAGGCAGAGACACAGGCAGAAGGAGAAGCAGGCTCCATGCAAGGAGCCCGACATGGGACCCAATCCCGAGACTCCAAGATCACACCTGCAGGATAAAATCTACACTCAGGAACCTCCATAACTTGGTCAGTAAGTATTCAGCTCTTCGGCTGCATGTCTTTTGGTCTCATTTTAATCACCACCCTGAATTCCCCACTAGTCATAGTGATAGCCTACATTTCTAGGCTTCTGCACATTGTCTGACCTGCCAAGAACACTAATTCCTACCCCGTTCAGATTTTACTTTTTCTGATAAGCCTTTCCTGATCTCCTAAAAGTAGGTCATAAGCCCCTCCTGTGAGTTCTCACAGCCCCCAGTACTAATCTCTGCTGTAGCATTTATTTCACTGTTGTTTTGCCTACTAGTATCTGCTCTATCACAAAATTAGGAGCTTCTTGAGAAAAAGGACCTTGTAGAGTTCACTGTTATATCCTCGATACTCAGTTTAGTGCCTGCTAGGTATGCAGTGGATGTTTAATAATCACTGAATCAATATGCCTTTATAGTCTGTATCATACTCTTTAACACTACTTATAAATGCTGTTTAATGTTTTTATTTTCCTGTGTTAGCCTGATCTTTATAACCAGATTTTAAGTTTCTGGAAGATAGAAATATACTAGTACTTAAAAAAAAAAAAGAAATATACTAGTACTTTGAAGTTAGAGGTTACTGACACAGCTAATATTTATTCAGGACTGAATATCAACAATCCAATGGTATAGGTACTATTTTTTCTCTCTCTCAACCTCCACCTGAGGAAATTGAATCATAGAGAATTTAGTAGCTTCCCTAAGATGACATAGCTAATAAGTGGCAGAGCCGGGATTTGAATGCTGACATTGGTATCTGTACTCTTAATCATGATAATAACAGGCTAAGGAAATTTAGAATTACGGATGCTGGGATCCCTGGGTGGCGCAGCGGTTTGGCGCCTGCCTTTGGCCCAGGGCGCGATCCTGGAGACCCGGGATTGAATCCTACATCAGGCTCCCGGTGCATGGAGCCTGCTTCTCCCTCTGCCTGTGTCTCTGCCTCTCTCTCTCTGTGACTATCATAAGTAAAAAAAATTAAAAAAAATTTATAGAATTACGGATGCTAATTTATCCAAAACCATACTGTAGTACTGAGACTGGAACTCAGGTCTTTCTAAAGCCTACACTTTTTAAAAAATATTTTATTTATTTATTCATGAGAGACAGAGAGAGAGAGGCAGAGACACAGGCAGAGGGAGAAGCAGGCTCCATGCAGGGAGCACCCATCTGGGACTCGATCTCAGGACTCCAGGATCACGACCTGGGCTGAAGGCAGGGGCTAAACCACTGAGCCACCCAGGGATCCCCTAAAGCCTACATTCTTAATTATTTGACATACTGCTTCTCTTGCTTTAAATGTCAGCACTAAAGCTCATACTGGGTGTTGATAATTTTATTTTATTTTTTATTTTTTTTTAATTTATTTATGATAGTCACAGAGAGAGAGAGAGAGAGAGAGAGAGAGAGAGAGAGAGGCAGAGACACAGGCAAAGGGAGAAACAGGCTCCATGCACCGGGAGCCCGACGCGGGATTCGATCCCAGGTCTCCAGGATCGTGCCCTGGGCCAAAGGCAGGCGCTAAACCGCTGCGCCACCCAGGGATCCCATGGTGTTGATAATTTTAAAAGCTGCAGCTCCAGTTTACTGAGATTGAAGAATACTACATTCCTTTCCAAAAGCAGCATCACTGTAGTTTACTGGGTTAATTTACCTTAAATATCAACAGCCTAGTCTTATTAGCCAATTAAGTTTATAGTCTCTAGTGTTATCCCTGCAATACCAAATACTGTGTTTTCCTCAGTGTAAAAACCCATGTTTTCTAAGACTGACCTCTAAGTAAAAAGCTACTCTCATTCAGAAATTTACTCTTCCTTTTATTTCTCAAAACCAGTTATGAGATATTCCCAAATTCTCTGCTTTTGTGGCTCCTCAGTTTTTCAGTGTAGAATGTCTTGTTTCTGAAAGTAACCTATTATCCACAAACTCTCTTGGCTGTTTTATTGTTTATCCTTAAAAAATTACTATTCTCTGTAGGCTTATTAGACTCTTCGTCTTTATGTGGTACTCTGCTTTTCCTCTTTATCTCAAACATTTATTAAACACTTTACTGTGTATCAAAATGCAAATAACCTAACTCATTGAAGGCCATACTTTCAAAGAAAATGGCCTTGGGGCTTAGATATTGGAATATGATTTCCTTAACAAGCTTCATAAAGTCATCCTCTGCTCAGTTTAAAATTATACACCCAAATATCTTTCAGCAAAATCTCAGTAGCTACTTCTACAGTGCATTATATGGAGAGAATAGCTGGAGCCAACTCATTCGATTTTTTTTTCCATTGGATCTTATTCCAAAGATTTTTACCAACATTTAGCCCTCTAGCCCTCTTACCAACATTTTTTTTTCCATTGGATCTTATTCCAAAGATTTTTACCAACATTTAGCCTGACAAAAAAAAAAGATTGTTTGTTTTGTTTTTTGTTTTTTTTTAATTCATGAGAGATACAGAAACATAGGTAGAGGGAGTAGTAGGCTACCCGCAGGGAGCTGGATGCAGGACTCAATCCCAGGACTCCAGGGATCATGACCTGAGCCAAAGGCAGATGCTCAACCACTGAACCACCCAGGTGCAAGGTTCTTAAATTTGTTTTATTTATTTATTTATTTATTTATTTATTTATTTATTTATTTATTTATTCATTCATTCATTCATTCATTCATTCATTCATTCATGAAGACACAGGCAGAGGGAGAAGCAGGCTCCATGCAGGGAGCCTGACAAGGGACTTGATCCCAGGTTGCCAGGATCACCGCCCTGGGCTGAAGGTGGCGCTAAACCGCTTAGCCACCCGGCTGCCTGGTTCTTAAGTTTTTTTTTTGTTTTGTTTTTGTTGTTCTTAAGTTTTGTAACAGCTTCCTCATTAGAACTCTTCCACTAACATCCCCTGTTATCAAAATGAACTGCCCATCTTTCTTGGAAAATGCTCTGGAAGTTATTTCCTGAGTTAACAGTATGGCTTTGTCTCTCTGGATCAGTAATTATTTAATATAAAACTGAGTCAAACATCCCTGAAATATTTAGTAAAATATAAGTACTCTATCTCACAACGTTTTCCTCAGGGATATATGCAATCCAAAATGAGTATTTGAATAGTGCTGTATCATATTATTATTGCAGTAATATTTCCAGAATAAATATGGAGTTTGGAGTAACTATAAGCCATATAAAATATGGCCACATTGCTCAAATACATGAAGCAAAGTTCAAAACGAGATCATAAGACTAAAACATCATCAATGATGATAAAAGGCACATCTATGAACTAAATCTTATTTCCTTGAGGAAGGAAGATACTGAACCTACTATAATAGAGAATATGCCTTTGAAGGACTGAGGAACAAGCCTGTCATTCCAGAAAAAATCAAATCACGCAGATAAATGTCTTACAGGCGAGAAAAAAGCAGAAATGACTAAGCTGAAAAAAATCTCCTCTAGCCTGTCTTACATCTTTTACAGGTAGTGCTGTTCCTGATAAGACATATGGCACAAAATATGGTTTCTTTCTATATTAAAGGTGTGTAAATTACAGAAGATAGCAGTTTTCTGAATAGAAAACTTAGATAACAGCAACAGGTAATGAGGTTTGGAATTCTGAGGAAGAAATACCAGCACCCCTACCTGGGTGCAGTAGATAATCTTTTTTTTTTTTTTTTTGAATTATTTATTTATTTATGATAGTCACACAGAGAGGGAGAGAGAGGCAGAGACACAGGCAGAGGGAGAAGCAGGCTCCATGCACCGGGAGCCCGACGTGGGACTCGATCCCGGGTCTCCAGGATCGCGCCCTGGGCCAAAGGTAGGCGCCAAACTGCTGCGCCACCCAGGGATCCCAATAATCTAAAATGGTACAAGTGCTGGCCTGTGTATATAGCCTATCTCTGTTATAATCAGAGGAGAAAGTATTATAATCTGGGAGAAGTAGCCCTTCAGAGTCTGAGGAGCATTTCATCAGACAATAACTGAACACTCACTGCATACAAAAGCAATAGATTAGATGCTTAGGAATCCATCCAAAAGAACCCCTGGCTACTCTGAAATTAAAAGCTGCATTCTCATTTTCTCAAGCTTATATATTTTATGTAATGAAATAAAATGTACATCGTATTTTTCTTGTAGTGGTGTAAGTCCGCAAGAAAAAGTGTGCAAAGAACCCTTCCCCTTCGGCCTTCTGCCTATAGAAATATCCAACTGATTCCCTGAAAATGTTAGCTTTCTTTAGCAAGTGAAATACACCCTATTATTCTCTCCTTGACCCTGTTTTACTGTTTTTCACGACACTTAGGACCACCTGACACTTTACATATTTATCATTTATCTTTCCCAATCAAAATATAAGCTCTCATAAGGGCAGAGATTTCAAGTATTTTGTTCACAGATACATTCTCAGTATCTGGAACTATATCTAGTATGTGGTAAGTTCTCAAAAAATTATAAAATTAATAAAAGTGTTTTAAAAGGCCCCCTGAATGCTGTGTTACAATCATTAAATTGTAAAATTTTGGCATATCTGTGTATATGTATGTGAATACATTTACAGATTCTGTGTGATTACCAGCATAGGCCAAGTCAGGAGTCAGAAGATCAGAAGCTTGTGTGGGCAGACAGGAGTATGGTTGCAAAAACAAAGCAACATGTCTTATTAAATGGACTAAAGGACTCAAACACAGTCAGCAAACTTCTGTAAAAAGTAAACTAAATTTCTGTCCTTTCCATGTCTGAAATCTGACTAGTAAATGCAAATTTACTTCAGATTGGTTGGATTGACATTAGCTTTCTTCCTTGATAAAGCTTCTGAAACCTATTTAGTGAAGTTTTTTTTTCTTCTCCCTAAATTACTGCCTAAAGATACAAGCCCTCAAATCGAAACAGTCTTCCATTTCTATTTTGAGATTTGCTTGAGTCACAAGGTAATCTTGGAGAATCACTCTGCTCTGTCTCTCCACTTACTGAGGCTGCCTGGGAACTCAAACTGTCAGCCAAACAGGAAGAGGACCCTTCTGCCTAACTCCAAAAGGCCTAAGTCATATGAATGTGGTGAGGTTTAATGATGGCTATAGATCACTGCGATGGATTTCCCACAGGGTGGAGGAAAGAAAGCAAACATTTGACTTAACTTCCTCTATATGAATTCAGGGCTGGTAGAAAGACTAGACTATTAAATACAGCAAGCAAATGTCCCAATGTTTGCTAACATGTGTTTTCAACTAAAGAGACCCCTTCTGTATTCCTACTATATATGACACCTCCAAAACCCAAATATAAACAAAGTGACTGATCTGATCCTGGCAAAGGATCAGATTATTATACTTTTATTATTATACTTTTTTTTAAAGTCAGTGTTTATAAAAATGTATAAACCATAAAGGCCCCTTTTTTCCAAAATGAATATAAAGGGTTCCTTCCACCTGGATGCTCTTATTTGAGCCCACTATGAAGTCTTGAGTTCCTCCTGCTTCTGTAGTATGGTCCTAAATTGTTCTGCCTTTGTGACTTTAATTTCAAACCCTCCCCACAATAACGCCTCTTGACAGAGTTACTCTTTCTATACTCACACAAATGGAAACAGAAGAGATGAAAAGCCCCGGGGATGCAGTCAGTGTAGATCTCAAACTGATCCTCTGCTAAGCACAACCTGAACTCTGCCTCTTTCTTCTGTGGGCAGAGTTCCTCTCTTGGCTTAGTGATCTTGCTTGGCATACGAGGCTTAGGACCCAGGGGGCGCCTTTCAGCGGAAAAAACACCTCGCTGCAGCAAGCTAGCTGGGAAGCTCCCAATTCTAAAGAGACGCTGTTTACCAGAAGAGCATAACAAGGGCAGGTCTGACTGCAAGCCTGGGACTGGGAGGCAGAGCCGACGCCAAGGGGAACCCAGTTGGACACTGGTTGGTCAATCACCTGCAAGATGAAGGAGGTGAGGATGCTCTTGGCCTGGGTGCAAATATTCCTCATCAGCAACATGCTCCTAGCAGAAGCCTATGGATCTGGAGGTGAGATTACAATCTTTCCTTCCTGCAGCAACTTAAATGAAGTAGAACGGGTAAAGCTCTCTATTTCCCAAGCATAGCCAGACTTGACAGGAAAATGACAGAAAATGAAGCTTTGTTGCTGGTTTCTCTTGTTCCATGAAGGCTTTTTCTCTCTCCTTCTTTCTCCTTTCCCTGTCTGGAGCTTGCAGCTCCATATTTGTCATTAACGAAAGCAAGTAGCTACTTTCCTTTTCCTTGCCTGTGGCTCATGAGTGGACGGAATTTGGGGTTCATCTCCCCTACTCCCTAAGTCCTGTTCTTTTCAGGGGCTTTGCTTGGTGTGGTTGGCAGCACAGGCCCTCGTACCCCAGGCTCTCCTGCTGAGGGGAGTGGGAATTTGGAATCCCATCCAAGCAGTGGATGAGGCAGGTTCCCTCCGGTTGAGGCTCTCTTTTGCCTGACTGAATCCAGGCTTTTGTAGAATTCTCTTGGGGAGGAGTGTTGCCAGTGCAAGTGTGGCCATATCCGTGAAAGGAATACCCCAGTTTATGCAACATGGAATTACAACACAGGGATGAATTTCAGGTCTGGCCGCCCACCGACCCAAAACTCCCAATATCTCCAAAAAGGGACCTGAACCCAAGTCTCCCCTGCACGCTCCTCCAAAATGGCCATAAATTCCAGAGTAACAACCCTGTGCACTTGTGCAGCGCCTTCCGGCTTACAAAAATAAAAGCTAACATTCTCTGAGCGCTGAGTGAGGGCCGGACACCAAAGAGGGGCTTTGGACGCGCTGTTCCTTCTCTGCGCTTTCTCTTCCTTCTCTTTCCGGCCTCACAACAACCCTTCAAGGCAGCTCGGGTTTTCCACATGAGGTCAGGGAGGTCCAGCCGGGCCCAGGGTCGCCCAGGCGGGGCAGGTCCGACTCCTCTGCCGGCCACTCAGGGTCTGGGGGTTGCGGGGGCTCCTCTTCCTCACAGGTTGCTTCTCGGACAACGGCCACCTGTACCGGGCGGACCAGCCCTCCCCAGCACCGGGCCTGCGCTGCCTCAACTGGCTGGAGGCGCAGAACCGCCTGGCGTCTGCCTCCGCGGCGGGTGAGTGTCGGCCCCGGGCGGCGGGCGGCGGCCGCGGCCTGGGCCCTGGCCCCGTCCCATGGCGCCTTCTCTCCCCTCCCAGACGCCGGCAACCACAGCTTCTGCCGGAACCCGGACCGGGACCCACGCGGGCCCTGGTGCTACGTCAGCAGCGACGCCGGCGCTCCCGAGAAGCGGCCTTGCGAGGACCTGCGCTGTTCAGGTACCGGCCGGGACGCCGAGGAGCCCGGAACCCCCCAGACCCCCCACACCCCGGGCGGCCTGGGAGCGGCCGTTCCACCCGCCGCGCACGTGCGTCCGCGCGTCGCCGGCCGGCCCCGCCCCGCCCCCGCGCCGTCCGATTGGCCAGGGCTGTCTCCAGGCCGCAGGGCGCGAAGCCCATTGGCCGCCGCCGCTTCTCCGAGTGAGCTCATCCTCCGCGAGCGCCTTGTAAACAACCGTGGGAGGCGAGGCCCTGCCCCTTGGCCGCGCGCTCCCGGCCTGGTGCGCAGCCGCCGGCGGCTCACGGGACCTGACGCCCGGCCCCACGCCCTTAGCGACTCCCTCAACGCTGAGCGGCCGTCTGTGGAGCGGCTCTCCCTTGTGTTAGGCACTCTGCATACGGCGCCCCTGGAGAGAGACCGAGTGGGGGTCTGAGCCGCAGAGAAGTTCAGCGACATTTTGAAAGCGATGGCAGGGTCCAGACTTAAATCTAGGTTTCTTAGACTCCAGAGCGATGGCTAGTTGCTCTCGAGGCGGCGAGGCCGTTCTCTAAAATTAGATTAAATCGAATGTGTAGCGCATGTAACATAGGGACTGGCAAATAGTGTGGATTCATGAATTGTTTCCAAGCGCGGAGGGGGACCCCTTGGAGAAGAGGGCAACTGAGCGGACCTTGGGAGATGGCAAGGGTTTGAGCAGATGACGTGGGAGGCAGGAGGGGCTCGTTCTCCTGTCCTTCCTCCACCTTTGCCGTGTTCCAACTGTGGCGTGGCCCCCTCAGACCTGGCCTTGTCCCTGGGGTGTGTGGGGATTCTAAGGTGAACCCATTCCCCCTTCTCTCCTCCTCCAACACTCCAGGCCAGTTCCAGCTGCGGAACTCACTCAGGCTACTCTAATGAGACATATTTTACACTTCACCTCCAGAGACCACTTCCCTGTCCCCCCCAACCTCCACAGCAGAAACTGAGGCGGCGTCTGAAGTGCCAAGTGGAGATGAGGTGCAGCTGTTCCCTCCTGCCAATGCCCTGCCCGCCCGGAGTGAGGCAGCAGCCGTGCAGCCAGTGATTGGGATCAGCCAGCGGGTTCGGGTCAACTCCAAAGAGAAAAAAGACCTGGGAACCCTGGGTATGATTGCCCCACCCCATCCTTGTGCGAACCATCAATAAATGTTTTCCCATTGTCTGGGGTGAGGCTAATGGGATCTTGTGTCCTGTCCTTGGTAGGCTATGTGCTGGGCATTACCATGATGGTGATCATCATTGCCATCGGAGCTGGCATCGTCTTGGGCTATACCTACAAGAGGTAAGTAGCTTCTTTCTGGGTTGAAAGGAGGGGAGGAAGGTACATAAAGTTGAATAAAGTTGAATCAGACTTCTTTGTGGCATACATACCCAAAAAAGGAAGTCAAGTGTTGAAAGAGGAAAACTAGCTTAAGATGTACAGACTTGGTTCTAGTGACCAAGTGACCTTTATCAGGTGACCTTGGACAAACTCTTTCCTTTGGTGCCTTTACTCCTCACCCAAAAGCCTTGTGAGGTAGGAGTTCTTGTTTCCCACTTTACAGATGAGGAAGTTTCATCAGAGAGGTGAAGTGACTTGCCCAAGGTCACAGTACCTGGGAGTGCCTAGGTTCAAAGCCAGCTCTTTTGATATCTTTTTTTTTTAAAGATTTTATTTATTTATTCATGAGAGACATACAGAGTCAGAGACCTAGGCAGAGGGAGAAGCAGGCTCCATGCAGGGAGCCTGCTTGGGACTCGATCCTGGGACTCCGGGATCACGCACTGGGCTGAAGGCAGACGCTTAACTGCTGAGCCACACAGGAGTCCCTGTTTTGATATCAAATTCTCTGCTGTCTAATACAACATGCCTGGTATGGAAGTGTGTGGCACTGTAGGAATCAGGCTGGACACTCATTGCAGGGTTCCAGAGATTGAATTCTTTCTGTGAGTTATAAAATTCTACTAGAAGGGTGCCTGGATGGTTCAGCCGGTTAAGTGTCCAACTTGATTTCAGCTCAGGTCATGATCTCAGGGTTGTGAGATTGAGCCCCACATCAGGATCTGTGCTGGGCATGGAGCCTGCTTAAGATTCTCTCCCTCTCTCTGCCACCCCTCCCTTCCCCCTGTAAAAAAATACATAATAAAATCCTACTAGAAAAGGTTCCTAGCCACTCCTTTTGCAGTTGGGGCTTTAATTCCCTGGGCTATAAGCAGTGGGATCTCCTTTAGAATAGGAGGGAAAAATGAGTTGGAGGACATAGAACCTGTTTGCTACTCATCACCACTATGAGGAAGCCAAAGAGGCTCCTGAGAAACTCAGAGATTTGACCTGTGACTGGGACAATAGGAGGAGGAGTGCTCACTTTGAGAGGCCCCCTGAAGTATCATGTGGAAAAGGCTCTCAAAGTCCATGATGGGTACCTGATAATAAGCCCCAAATTGCATTCATTTTTACAGCATTGGCTGGTTCTGGAAAAATTATTTTCCATTCTGGGCAGTATCAGGGGACTTGACTTCTAGCCCTGAGTGCTTGTGATATTTCTCTTCTATGATCTGAGAAGGCTTTCTGAAAGGGATGTGATATGGTGGCCTGCATTTCCCAGTGGTAAGGGCTGTGTCTGAGCTCACAGCCCTGGTGGGTCACCCAGCATTAAATAAACCTAGGGTATCCTTAGAGACAGTGTAGTCAGCCTCATTTTACAGATGAAAAGTGTTGGCTAAGAATAACAACAATAACTGCAAAAGGGAACATTTACCATATGCAAGACCCTGCTTCCAGCAATTTACATGCTTTAATTCAGTTCTCACAATCACCCTTATGAAGTAAAGGCTGTTATTAGCCCTAGTTTATTTACTTATAAAGATTTTATTTTATTTTATTTTATTTATTTATTTACTTATAAAGATTTTACTTACTTATTTGAGAGATAGAGAACATCCCCTCCCTGCCCCCTGTGAGGGGGGATGCGGCAGAGGGAGAGCAAGAGGGAGAAGCACTTCCTGCTGAGCAGGGAGCCCAATGTGGGGCCCAATCCTGGATCTTGAGATCACTACCTGAGCCAGACTGAGCCACCCAGGCCCCCTATCCTTAGTTTATACAATAGGAAACTGAGAAAAGAGAAGATATATACTTTGCTTGAGGTCATACACCTAGCATTTGGTAGAGCCACATCTTACTCTTGCCATGAACTAGCTATCTGTGTGATTTTGGGCAAGTTGTTCCTATTTCCTACTGCAGAGCTTAGCTCAGTGTGTAGCACACAGTAAGTGGTCAGTAAATGACAGCTATTTTTTCTTTTCTGTAAAATGTGAGTCCTGTACTAGCACTCTCTGAGCCCTTGTTCCTTCTCTGATTTTCTATGATTCAGGAAGCAGAGGTTCAGAGAGAGCCAAGTATTGACCTAAGAGGGTCTGCTGACTTCCATTCTGTGAGGCTATTGCCCCAGTGGGATGGTTAACCTGGCAGGTCCAGGGACACTTGCTTGTTCATTTCAGTGAATTAGAGGAAATGATATGGTAACCCTGGCCTACAATCCACAATCAGACCCAAACCTCTTGGCTGAGTTGAGACCTTGAAATATTTCCTCCTTCCTCAGCCACTGAATAGCAGTTGACTCCTCTCCGATCTTGTGACAGTTTCCACACCTTCAGGTGCTTAAACTGACTAAACATTCTTAATTCTGAGCTTAGTTCTTGTGCCCAATAAGGAATCCAGGCCTTTTTTATTCTAAATTTGCTTCTCTGGGCTGTCGTAGGACTGCCCTGAGGCCTAGAATTTACGGTCCTGTAAACTTAGGGCAAGGCACCAAGTCACGAGACTCCCCGTCACTAACCACCAGACCACCCCTTTCCTCAGCAAAAGTGCTCTGAGAACAGACTATAACAGGAAACCGCATGTGGGCTAGAGGCAAGCTCTCAGTTCTCATCTCTCTCTGTCAGAGAACAGTGTCCTGGAAAGAGATGTTGAATGTAGGTTCTGCTATTCCTCTGCATTTTGTTTTCTTGATTGTTGAATGGGGATATGTCCTCTCCCCCACTCCGTACATCCATACTCAACCACCCAAGATTATCATAAGCATTAGATATAAGCAGTAGAACACCAATTAGGTTAGATAATCATAGTAGCAGTGAAAATTAATTGCATGCTTTTTAAATAAATACAGCCCTACTGAATGCTCTTTCCTGATGATTTGGCCCAAGCCTCATGACCACACTTGACAAGATTCATTTTTTACACCATTTTACAGTGAGATGCTGAGATCTAAAAGAGTTAAGTGCCGTGTCCAAGCTACACAGCCAGTAAGATGTGTCTAAGGATTACCAATATCTCCCAAAAGCCCAGCGAGGCTCAGCAGCTCATGAAAATTTGCTTGAATTGCAAAGGACAGTAGGAAAAATGGAAACTTTCAAAATAAAACAGCTGAGTCTAGAAATCAAAAGAACCAGGAATGTAGTTCTGCAACTGCTGCCCGTTCTAGGTGTGACACCAGACAAGTATTTTACCTTCCCTCCTTTCCTCATCTGTAAAAAGGGTAAAGTCAGATTAGAAGTAATGATCCTCTTAGTTCTAGTATTTCCTTAAAAAAAAGGCAGTATTAACTGCTGGTGGCAGTAGACGGTACTGGGTTCAGATCCCAGCTTTGCTATTTGTTTAAATAAATTAGGTTTAACCTGTCTGCATCTGCCTTCCCATCTCTAAAACAGAGATCCTAATAGATACCATGTAGGTTTGTTGTGAGAATGAAATTAGCGTAGTTGGGTTTAGGGTTTGTGTTCATAGCCTTAGTTGCCTTGAGGACCTTTTCGTGAGCAGGAGTATGGCACAGCACTACTTCCAACTGGGAAAATAGTGAAAGAATAATTGGAAGAAATCTGTGTTGCCTGAAGGAAGTCTGGAGTGTTTTCAGCACCTCAAAGAGGATGTCAGAGGCAGGCAGCAGCCATTCACACCTGCTGTCTCTGGCCAGCCCAGATCCCCATCATGGCTCTGGAGCAGTCATGGATAGAATTACTGCAACACTTGAACTCTGCAAAGGACCATGAGGCTAATGGAATTGGGCTTTTCCCTGCCTGGAAAGGGCAAGCAGGAACCAGGCTTCCTCTCAGGGGAGTAAGGGCCGCAGGTGGGTGTGGGTGAGGGCTCAGCTTGTCGGGTCTTTGTCATGGTTGTCTAGGCTACGAGGTTCAGCTAGCCAGTTTGAAGCTCCCTGTCTCTGCCCAAAGTGCAGTGCCTGTGCTATTCAGAGGGAGCGTTTATTTTCTGATAAAAAGGCAAGGGAAAAACTGTAAGTCAACACTACTCCACCCCCTTAGGAGAGGAGCTGAGTCAGTGAATAAGCCTTTTGTTCTTTTTTGGCTGCCAGACAACAGCCTGGCCACCCCCTACCCCCAAAGGCAGTAAGAAGGGGCTGAGCTGCTTAATGGTCAATGCAGCAGGCCTGGTGGCCTCTCTCAGATCTTAAAAGGAATTGGGGACAGCCTCTGCATCTCCAGCACTCCTAGGCACCATTAACAGGAGGCCCATGGGGTTGGGTGTGTTTTGAAGCTTCTAAATGGATGAGACCATAATCCAGATGAATCCCAGCACCTCTTTCCTTTACCCTTGGCTATTCTTCCAGTCCTATTTTTTTTTTCTTTAAAGACTTTATTTATGAGAGAGAGAGAGAGAGAGAGAGAGAGAGAGAGAGGTGGAGACACAGGTAGAGGGAGAAACAGGCTCCATGCAGGGAGCTCGACGCGGGACTCGATCCCAGGACCCCAGGATCACGCCCTGGGCTGAAGGCAGGCCCTAAACCGCTGAGCCACCCAGGGATCCCTCTCCCAGTCCTATTCTGCTCCATTAATATGAATTGATTTCTTTCCCCTAAAGACTTATGATGCAGCCTGACAATTATCAATAGCTGGCCACAGCCAGATGCTTGGTAAAGAAGGTAGCTGATGAAAGCAGGACAACTCCCAATGCCTCAGTTTCTTCATCTATAAGATGTGGATTATACTATCTTACAAAATTGGTGGTGAAGTGGCACATATATAAAGTGTGTTATATCCAGTAGGTGCATAGGTAGCTCTTTTCATCCTAGATAATGGGAAGGTCATTTCCTGGCACCTTAGTGGGTACTCAGGATGTAAGAGTTCTCACTTTCCCTCCTCAGCCCCTTAGATTTTGAAATTCAGGCCTTGGCAAAGGACACTTGCATATTCCACCTCTTTCATTAACTGCCTTTTGGCCTTCTGCTGCCTTGGGGATCCCTTAGTAAAATTAAATCCAGATTGTCAAAGTTTTTCCCTACATGAGCAACCTTGAAGGATCTGGCTTTTTGTTTTATTATGGAAGGAAGTGTTTCCTTCTGTGGTGGCAGCTGAAACTGATGAGCAGTGCCCACGGGCAAAATAAATCTTAGGCTGAGTGGGGATACACTTGGTCCAGACAACCATCTTCCCATGTCCCTCCATTTCCTCTTGGGATGCTCTGGGAGTTCTGCTGTAGGAGGTGGTGGTGTCCAGTACAGGGGCTAATGATAAGGATGGGGCAAGTGCCTCAGGCTTGCACATGCAAAAACTCAGTCACCCAGGGTGACTCAAGGAGATGAGCTCACAACTTTGCCTTTTGTGACCTTACAATGAAAAACAAGGAATCAGAGTACATCTCATGTGAGGAATTTTACAGTATGTCAGGGGCCCTGGAGGTTATCAAGCCCAAGTCCTTGTTTTACAAATGATAAAATTAAGGTCCAGAGAGGAGTTGCTGGAGGTCACATAAACAATAATTGCCTTGGTTGGTCAGTAGGAGTTTCCTTGGGAAACCAGATTAAGATAACATTGCTTGGTGAGTCAAGTCATATTCAGGGCAAAATCATAATAACCTCCTCTATGAGTTTTACAGCAGTTCCACTGTTTTCAACATGCATTCACATTCATTATCCTATTTTGAGGCAGATATTATCCCCATTTCACAGATGAGGAAACCAAGGCTCAGCAAGGCTAAATGTTTTGCCAGGTGTCACACAGCCAAGGCTAAGCTGGTACTAAAATGCAAGAGAACTGGTTGATTTAAAGACAGTTCTGAGGCACCTCTGCAGACTTCAGCCCCTCCAGGCCCTGCTTTTTTCTCAATATCCTTCAGTCTCTAGAAACTTCTCATTGTACCTCATATGATGGATGTGTAATCTACCTGATCTCAGCTATCTCCTTGCTGTCTGAAGTAGGCCTGTGTTATTTCACCAAGTTATTGATCATATATGCCTGTTTCAAGGCCTCTTTGACACAGGCTCCTTCTAGGAGGATTTCCTCTGACAATTGAGCCCATGTGTTTAGTTGTGATTTCAGAGTAAGCTGATCTGGGTCCTCCTGGGTGTTGGTTCTGCTGTGCAGTGTGCTAGGCATTCACCAAGCCCTTTGGCCTGCAATGGGCATGGTCCAGGCCAGTGGGAAGGACCCTACATGTGCACCAGAAGACTAGGTTTGAGTCCCTATGCCACCATTTCATTGGGGTGACCCTGGTCAGGTCAACTTCTCTGATTATTATCTGGAGTCCAACAAACTTGGATTTGAACCCATTATGTTAATGGAGAGTTCCTTCACCTCACTAGGCTATTTCTTCATCTGTAAAATGAATGATAAGACCTAATTCCTAGGATTCAGCCAAGAATGAGGTAAGATAATGTACACAAAGTCCTTAGCATGGAGTGAATACTCCATTTGAGTAAAATGGGGCAACACCATGGCCTGCTTGAGTCACTGAGCACCATGAGAATTCAAAGGTGTGAACATGGTCACTGAGCACCATGAGAATTCAAAGGTGTGTGTGAACATGGAGGGATCTGATGGTCACTGTCTCATTGTTTCCCATTGACCTGAGCAGCCCCCAGCCCCTTTTGCCCCCTGCATGGGCTGGGGACAATCCTTATTTCCAGCCAGGGCTCATACCTTCCAAGGACTGTATTATAAGACAACTGCCTTAGGTCAGCTTTCTGCACGACTATATGGGATAGGACTGAGATGGTTCTCTGGGTCTCCTGAAGCCCTTGGCTGAAAGAACGAAACCATATCTTGCTTTAAGAGTCTCTCCTCTACGCTATCTTCATTGAGCCTGTCTGCAGCCGTGTTGAGGTTCATGCTACTACACCAATTTTACAGATGAGGAAGCAGAGAGTAGAAGTACAGGAGCTTCTTGTTAAGATAATCTGGCAGAATGGAAATCTTGTGTATCAGCCACCGATTCACTGTGACCATGGTTAGCCCTTACCCCTGCCTGGGTACAGCAAAGCTATTATTTATTTATTTATTTATTTATTTTATTTTATTTATTAAAGATTTTATTTATTTATGAGAGACACAGAGAGAGGCAGGCTCCCTGCAGGGAGCCCAACATGGAACTCGATCCCGGGTCTCCAGGATCACGCCCTGGGCTGAAGGCCAGTGCCAAACCTCTGAGCCACCCAGGGATCCCCCAGCAAAGCTATTTAATGAGCAAAGCCACGCAGGTGGCATTCACAGCCTGAATGCTTCCTTCTTTTCCTGCCAGGGGGAAGGACCTGAAAGAGCAGCATGACCAGCAAGTGTGTGAGAGGGAGATGCAACGAATTACCCTGCCCTTGTCTGCTTTCACCAACCCTACCTGTGAGATCATGGATGAGAAGACTATTGTGGTCCACACCAACCAGACTCCAGTGGACCTTCAGGAGGGCAGCGCTCCCCTCATGGGCCAGGCAGGCACGCCTGGGGCCTGAGCTGCCACTAATGGGCAGTAGCCCATGCAGACACTGGTGCAGGACAGCCTACCCTCCTACAGCTGGGAGGATCTATAGTTTTTGTTGTGGTTAAAACCCTCCCTTGACTTTTTTTCTTTTTTTGGTGAATTCTAAAACAGAAGCAGAGGTTGTGCTAAGGGTAAGGCTGGGTAGGATCCTACCAGTGCTCCTCCTCATCCTTGGAGCAGGATTTTGCCTGTGGATGGAGTTAGCGGTGGCCTCCACAGCAGTGCTGCTGACCAGGGCTTCCAAACATTGCTTATGCCCCAGAACTGACTCAGGGACAGACAGGGAGCTCCCCAAGGCTCCTCTATGCTTTATTATCTAAGATGGCCTCAGTCTCCACCCTTCTGTCTGTTCTCTGTGGGCTTGAGTGGCGCATACTGTTATCCATAGTTCAGGTCAAGTAGGTCAAGAGTCAGGATTTAAAAATTATATTTAGTTTTTAAAATAGTTGGGATGGAACTCCCTACTGACCTCTGAGAACCAGAAATGAGTTTGTACAGAAGTTAAAACTGTGGGTTGAAAATGGGATCTAGGCTGGGGGCTCCTGGGGGTGCTCCAGCTTGCTGGCAGTGATGTGCCTTGATAACCATGGGCTGGGCCTGGGCCCAGGCCCTCTTCCTGTTTCAAAAGGAAAGGAAGAATTGCACTGAACATTCCACTTGGGAAGAGGGTAGAGAAGGATTCATGGCTGCTTTAGGCCACAGGACCTGAGGGGACCTGGGGTACCCTAGACAGTTTCTGTTCAGGGTGGACAATGACCTCTTTTCATTTTGCAGGGGTAATACAAGAGCCAATTAACCTATGGGAATTACACTGTGGGTCCTTGTGAGCTGCTTCTGAGGGGGTAACCCAGAAACTAAGCTCAGAGGCAAGGTAGTAAAGTCCGTCAGGACTTGCCCCGGCAGTGGCTTGAGTTTGCAGGTGGATCTGTAGCCTCCAGGCTAGTGCATTCCTGGGGATAGTAGGGCTAGGGTCACAACCCCTAACTTGTAAAACAATCAGAACCATTGGGAGGGACCTTAGGGTTCCTCAAGCCTTTTGGACACAGGACCCTCTGGGAGCCCATAGGGGTAAAGTGATGCCTAAGGTCATAGAGCAAGCTACTGGCATGGCCAAGAGGAGAATAACATTTCTCCACAGCACTGTGCTGCACTGAGCCAGTGGCTCAGCAGGGCCTCCAAGCCCTGATGTCACACTTGGAGGCCTTAGCAGTGCTCCCTATCCAGAGCTTCCTTCCCAAAGCCTTTCCACTGCCCCACGTCGGGGGGAGGGGTCAGTAGGGCCCATTCTCTTCAGCAGACTATTCCTGGGAGTGGTTTGCTGAGGGGACCTAGGGTTCAAGGGTCCCTTGGTGTTAGTTGATACCGAAGAAAAGAACAGTACATTACTGGTTTCTACTTTTCTATAAAAGCATTTCTCTGTGTACATGTTTTATATACCTCATTCTGATACCTGCATATAAAGTGCAGGAAATTGCTCTGCATTTGACTTGTATAAATTTTAAAAAACCACAAAAAAACAAAAATTGTATTGTCAAGTTTTTAAGGGGTGCCAGGACACTCCCATAAGTTGCTTAGCTTTGGTTACCTTGTCCACACCTGTGTGGCAAGCACTGGGTTTCCTTCATTAACCCTGGCCCTGTAACTGATGTGGGTAACTGCTGTGTTCTGGCATCACTAGGAATCATTCAGGTGGAAGTTGTAGGAAAGATGGGAATGCTGGCTTCCCCGTAAGTGATTCAGTCACTGCAAATCTTCTCCCCCCTCAGCATTCTTCTGGAGGTGGAAGTAGTTAAAATGAACATCCAGGGAGCCCTCTGCAGGGGCTGGAGATAGAAGTGATGGGTGGTGGTGCTATAGCAGCCAAAGGGAAGGATAGGTGTGCAGAGGGGATTGGGTCCTTGGGCTGCAGGAAGCAGCTCTAGGTAGAGGAAGGCCCCTGTGGGGTGACTCCTAGGACTGGAGAAGAAGCTACCAATAGGAAATTGTTGGACTTTCAGCGTGAGATTTCAGCAGCTTCTCTGCTTCTAGGACACCCAGGGTGACCTCTGCCCATGCCCAGGCATTGCTGTATAGTTCTAGAAACAAGGGGCACCATATATTATCAGTTTTGCCAGGAACCAGATTCTGTCCTTAACTGAACTTCCCAAATTCTGGGAGAAATCACCTTTGGGTATATGGATTTACACTGTACCCAGGATCTCACTAGCCAGATATCATCCTGCCCAATGCGCCACATCTCCCATGTGTAGAAGCAAGGACAAGTCTCTCAAATACTTGAAGAAAAACACAAGGGGTGAAGGTGACTTGCATTTATTTCTTCCCTTTATGATTGTGGAACCAGGCCCTGCAGGGAGGATATCCAGGCATTCAGAGGGTGTAAGTGTATGGCTCCAAAGGAAGCACTTGGCCTGCAGGTCAGAATCAGACCTGCTTCAAGGACTGGGTTGCCTCAGGTGGGATGTGTTTGTTTTCTGGAGCAGATTGGTGTCTACATAAGAAGAGGGGATTAGAGTTGGGGGGGGGGGGCGCACAGGGGCTTAAAAAGTCCCCCGCTGTGGGGAGTCATGGAGCAGGGGCCTGAAAGTGGCCAGCAGACCTCCCACGTGTATCCTCCTGCTGAGCTAGGCTCCAATTCACTTTTTCACTCTCAGTAACATCACTCACTTATGTTAACTGTTTAATTTATTTGGTCTGCTCAATGGCCCACAGTGGGCCCACCACTCCCATGCTTGCTGGGGACAGCTGAGGCGCAACCAGCCACAAAATGCTGACTTAGAGCTGCTGGGAGCCAGGGCTCAACCCTACAGCAAGCTTGCACACTCCACACGTAAGTATGGTCTATATAGCAGGTAAACTCTGTCCAGAGACGACATCTAATCCCACAATTTATCAGGCCTATGTACAGTATTTCACATATCACCCAACAGAGCAACAAAACAGTATTAACATCAACCACTCTCCTGGATCACTCCCCGCCACTGCCTCCCCCCACCCCCACCCCACAACCACATCGCAGTAATATCCCAAACCCATTCCCAATTTGTTAAATATGGTGCAAGCTCACAGACACATAGGAGGAGGCAAATTTTGTTGTGTTGAATGTCCCTGGCCTCGGAAGCCAAGGTGGAGCGTGCCTCCAGGGCTTTTCATTGCCCATAATTGTCAAGAAGCTGAAGCCAGGAGCTAGTGAGCTGGGCCAACCAACAAGGGAAATAGAAGCCAGAAAGCCCAGCTCAGGGAGTGGTCTCCCCCAGCATCCCAGTTCCGGGACTCTGCCACCACCTCCTTGCTGCCTAGACCAGGTATGGTGAAGGGTGAGCAATGGCTGCCACAGGGAAGGGCCAAGAGACTGCTGAGATTCCCATTCCCGACTCATATGTTGGGCCTGGGGCAAGCCACACAATCCTCCAGAACCCATCTAGCACTAAGTTTAAATGCCTCGGGCTCCTGACTGAGGTGCCCACCAAGGTATGAATGACAGCAGCCAGGATATGGGCTTTATAGAAGGCAGGACCCCTTTCTTTCCAGGCCCCAGCCTCATGTTGCACTTGTGGGTGAGTGCTTGTTGCAGGTAGAGAGGCCCAGGAACTCTCAGCGAGCCTCTAGCAGTACAGTTTGAGAACATGAGGTGGAAGCTCCCCCTCACAGTGATGTGGCCCCTAGGCCTGGGAGATGAACAAACTAGCCCTTCCCCTGACTCCTGGTCAGTTCCACCACAGATTCAGGGACTCTTCAAAACCTGCCCCCTCACAGGGGAAGGGGGACACAGTGGAAGGGGGTATGTAGCACCACTGTCATTTCACATCCTTGGATAGCCACTTGGCCACCAGTCTTTCTCTTGTCTACACTCCCACCTGAAGTCCTCCTATACCTAGCTAGACCAGAGACTTCAGAGCCCACAGGCAGGTTCACCCTGGAATCCTGCCCAGCAGGTCCAGGTCATGCTGATTAGTGTAAGGAAGAACCTTCCAGAATCCCAATGCCAGGGGGTTCCCAAGTGGTCATGAGTAACAGATTCTTCCTGGCTCATGGGTCAGGCTTTCTTTTTTTTTCTTTTTTTTTTCTTTCTTCACAGCTTTCAGGCGAGTGTTGGATCTACAGACAGTAACCAGGCCCCCAAACCTGTGATGTGTTTCCCTGGTGCTGTGCCCGCTCGCCTCCTGGGGAGGTAGTAGAGATGGCTTGTTCTGTTCTAAACAAGCTGCCAATCCACAGGAAGCCCGGACAGCCCTGCCCACAGCAGGGACAGGGCGCAGAGGGGGCAATGGTGGATGCAGAACGCCCCCCTGCAGGGGGCTGGGCCAAGGCTAGGGGGGTGAGTCCCGGGTCAGGCCGTACTGCAAGCTCACAGTGTGGTCCAGCTCCTCCAGCTCCGCAGGCAGCGGGATGCCTAGCTCCCCCAGGTACAGGGAGAGAGCCTCAAAGGAGTCCTCCAGTTTTGAGAATGCAGGTCTAGAAAGAAAAGGGGTAAGTTGGAGGCAGGTGAGATAAGGGCAGGGCCACTAGATGCTATGCAAGGTACCCAGGCCTGCAGCTCAACCACTTCCTAGTTGTGTGACCTTGGGCAAGCCCCTTAACCTCGTGCCTCTGCAGGAAATGGGGATGATATGTTATAGCTACTGTGTGGGGTTGCTGTGAAGATAGCACTGTGAGAAGGCTGACCTTGTTCAAAGGGGTAGCTTAAAAAAAGAAAGTCCAAAAAAAAAAAAAAAAAGTCCAGGGAGAAAAAGCTTGTCTCATGTCTTGGAGAAAATGCAATTATCAAAGGTGCAATTGGACTAAGTGCCTTTTAAAGATTCTTTCTAGTCCTCAGACTGTTTCCACATCAATGGATCTGCTCAGGAAGAGACATTTCATGGACTCAGCAGCTCTTCCCAAGGGGAAAACAAACAGCGGGCTCCCAGTGCTGTGGAAACAGCTTAGCTGTCCTGGAACCCTAAGCCAGCTCTGGCTTACTCCTCTGCCTCCTCCATGTTTTTGTTTAACCATCTTGCCACCTTCTTGGCAAGGCCCACTGTCACCACCATATTTAAAATTACAGCTTGCACCCTACACATCCTCTTTCCTTAGCTCTGCTCTTTTTTCCATAAACATTTTTCACTTCCTAATATTCAATGAAGGGCATTCTATCTATTGTTTATCATCTATCCTTGTTAGAATGTGAGTTCCAGGAGGGCAGGCACCTTTGCTTTGCTCACCCACATGCTCAGGACAGGGTTGAGCACATGGCAGGCACTCAGTCTTTTTTGAGTGAATTAAACACAGACATTTAGAATGACTAGGAAGGGATATTAGCAAACAAATACTGTGTAGCTTCATATTTTCTCCTCATGCTCTTACTCTGGTGTTATTGCAGTCCTTTGGTTCATGAAGGAACGAAATGTAGAGCCTCCTACCAGCAAATCCCATTAAGTGGACCTTTGGAAACCATTTTAAAATAAAGGCTGTGTGCCAACTGGTTATCTTGAAAGGATAGAGTAGGAGAGTAAGTAGTGCTCGGGGGCACGATGGTTAGATGGTCATAGAAAATGTGCACTTTCTGTGCTATGTATTTTAGTCATATTTGAAAAATTTTTAAAAAGATTTTATTTATTCATGAGAGACAGAGACAGAGACACAGGTAGAGAGAGAAGCAAGCTCCATGCAGGGAGCCCGGTGTGGGACTTGATACCGGGACTCCAGAATCACGCCCTGGGCCAAAGGCAAGTGCTAAACCATCGAGCCATCCAGGGATCCCCCATATTTGAATTTTTAAAAAATTTATTTACTTAAGTAATCTCTACACCCAACCTGGGGTTCAAATTCACAACCCTGAGATCAAGAGGGTTCCACCAACTGAGCCAGCCAGGAGCTCTTTAAATTTGTTTAAAAGAAACAGGATTTTTGAGAGAAGAAAATAGATTCTAGTTTTCTAATGCACAAATTTGGAAAGAAGTGGGGTAATGTTGCTAAAGAAAACTATAACCTGAGATGAATAATGGTCATTTAATTTTTTTTCTTTAAAGGAGATAATTAGCTAAATGCATAAAGATGTTCACTATAGTAATACCTATTATAAGGAGAAACTGAAAAAACCTGACTATCTACATTATGTATATCCTAATATATTCGGACAGTCTCTTAATTGAATTTCAGATAGTTAACAAAAATGATAAGACTGGGGATATTAACAAGGAAAGTGCAGGGCAAAATACAAAACTTTCCTTTATTGAAATTATAACTATATAAAAAATGTATGTGTTTGGACATAGATGAACATGAAAAACACTTATTCTGTTCGAATGGCATAGGTTTGGGTGACTTTTCTCCTGTTACAATTTCTCTTTATGGCTATGTCTGTGTTATATCTGGGTCACTCATGGCTATGCCCTGTCCCCCAACCACCCTACCTGGCATGTCAGAGTTGTTAGGGTGGATTCAGTGGATAAGAGCTGCATCGCTGAACTGAAGGCTTTTGCCAGCCCTGTACCTGGGAGAAGGGGGCAGGATACCAACCTGCTCTCAGGCTCCAGTTTGCAGCAGATGGCGGCCAGGGGAAAGAAGGCTGGGGGGCAGTCTGTAGGGACAAACTTCTCCCAGAAAAGCTTCACGTTGAGGCCAAAGTCCAGTGTTCGGGGCAGGCAGTCAGGATCTGCATATACCTGCCCAATGATCTGCAGATAAGAAGATGGTCAGGAGTGGACTGTGGTGGGTGCAGCCATAGAGGAGTGGGATACTGGTGTATGGATAGGAAGGATGGGCAGAAAAGGGAGGTAAAAATCAAAGTTAAAGAGCTGTACTCCTCTACGTCCAAATCACACTAATCCAGACTGGTCTTTCAACTGAGAGTCTGGTTATTGAGGAGGGTTTGGAAGTGGCTTCACTGCAGCAGAAGCATGATGTTCCAAATCTGGAGAGACAGCTCCACACATTCCACCCTGCCCTGCCATGTCCCCTTGTGTCTCTGTATCCTGCCAGAGTTCAGGCTCTGTGAAGTGAGATCCTGGGTCTGATTCATGTCTGAAACCTTCTGGTGCCAGCCTAGTGCTTTGCAGACAGTAAACGCTCAACTGATTTCTATCAAAGAAAATAATTTAAAAAAAAAAAAAAAAAAAAAAAAAACACCAACCCTCCCCTCTATTCCAACTGTCCTTTGTCTCTCCTCTACCACTCACCATTTTGTAGGAACTACAGAAGACTTTGAACATACTTGTTTGGCTGAATGCTTCCAGACACACTGAGCTAAGATCCTAAGGCAGAGATCTTTCTTTCTAAGACTCACTCTAATCCACCCCACAGTGCTCAGCACTGTGCTAGACAGACTGGCACTTGTTGTAGTGGCTACTTTCACTTGTGGGGCTAAAGGCCACTACTAAGGACCTTGGGAAGAGGGACCAGAGGGAAAGGTTGCATCTGACCCAAAAGCTACACAGAAAACAGTAAGGACACTTTCATCTGCCCCTTATTGGCTGTGGGACTAAGAACAAGCTGCTGCTCCTTCCTGAACCTCAGTTTCCCCACCTGAAAAAACCCAGCCTGTTCCTTTTCATGGTTCTGATAAGACTCAAATGTGTCAACAAATGTGTAATAAACTGCACAACCCTATACCACTCATGTTGATTTTATGGTGAACTACTATGATTTACTATGGTGAATCATTAGGAGAAGCAGTCCCCATTCTGAGGCAGGACAGAGCTACTAGACCAATGCCTCAGGCCTGGCCTCTGTGCTCACTGGAGCTCACCTCGCAAAGAACGATCCCAAAAGAGAAGACATCCACCGTCTCATCGTAGCTCTTTCCTTGGGGAACACAGAGAGTAGGCTGTTAGGTTTGATCTCTTATCTGCTCTGTGGTGAGCCTGGGGCCAAACCAGGCCACAGGCAAGAACCCGAGCTAGAAATAGGCTCCACAGAGATGCCATAAAGGCTGTCCAAGGACAGACACCCTCTGAACATCATCCTTCCTCAGCCCTGTGTGGGCTGCTTTAGAAAGATCTTGTGAGACAACACTGCCCAAAATGAAACTGCATGGGACAAAGAGAACTGGAACAGGGTTCACTTGGACTTTGTCATTAGGTAGTTGTATCTTCCTGGGCAAACCAATGAACTTCTCTGGGCTTCAGACTCCAAAAAAAAAAAAAAAAAAAAAAGGTTGAATCAGGCCATTTCTGAGGCTTCACAACCCTCTGCATTTCAAGAATCCCAGGGCCTTCTAGGTGGCACAGTGATTGTCTACCTTTTTTTTTTTTAAGATTTTATTTATTCATGAGAGAGAGAGGGGGGGGGCAGGCAGAGACACAGGCAAAGGGAGAAGCAGGCTCCATGCAGGGAGTGTGAGTGACGTGGGACTCAATCCCAGGTCCCCAGAATCACACTCTGGGCTAAAAGCAGCCCTAAACCACTAAGCCACCTGGGCTGCCCAGAGCATCTACCTTTGGCTCAGGTCGTGATACCAGGGTCCTAGGATGGAGTCCCACATCAGGCTCCTTGCAGGGAGCCTGCTTCTCCCTCTGCCTATGTCTCTGCATCTCTCATGAATAAATAAAATCTTAAAAAAAAAAAAAAAATCCCAGTCAGTATCTCAGGCTGATTTGACCATTATCCACAAGGGGGCACCATACTTCAGTTCTCAGCAGTGTGAAAGGAAAGGCTAAATCTCCAGCAATAAATAGCTTGAGCTCAACTACCCTTGGCAGCATAAAAGCCAGTCAGATCTCACCCTAGGCCCAGGAGCTCAGAGAGGAGTTTATATGGTCCAGTCTGGCAAGGGATAAAAATCGTCTAGCCATCAGCTGTGGGACATGGCCTAACAATTCACAGCCCTCCCCTGGAACACCCAAGACTCTGCTGCAAGGTGTGGCCCCCAACTCCCCTCTGGGGACATGTCCCCTCCATTATCTAGTGTCAGGACTCACCGTTCAGCATCTCAGGGGCCATCCAGTAGGGGTTTCCCACCACTGTATAGCGCTTCTTGCGGTCATTCTTACGCAAGGTGCGTTTCTTGCTGGTGGCTTTTTCCGTTGGGGGCTTTTTCCTCTCCTCAACTATGAGCCGTGACAGCCCAAAGTCTGCCACCACCACAGTCTTGTCCTGGTAGGACAAGGGCCAGGTCAGGACTTGGTGAGGACATTCCCAAGAGAAGTCATTGAGGGGAGAAAAGGTACATAGCAAAGGTGCATCACAGCTAAAGCTCTCTCTAGCAGATGAGGCTTGGTTATTTGTTTTCTAACAGTCTGGTATCTGCACTGTAAATTCTCCAGATCTGTGGGTGTCCACAGTAGAGCTCTTGGAGCCTGGATGGGTAAGGCTCTGGGACCTGGAGAATGGATCTCAAAAGCAGGAAAAGGGATTCCTTGTTTTTTAAACCCATTCTGCCTTGTTTCCCAAAAGATTTAAGGCATGGCTAGAATCAGTTTAAGACAGAAAAGCTCTTCAAATAGCTATAGTCCTGTGGAAAAGGGTTAAGGTTATTTAGTATGGGCCTGAAGAGAAGAGCCAGGGCCAGTTAGTGGACATCCACGGAGCTACATTGCAAGTTAACAGGAGAAATGACATGCTAACAACCAAAGCCAATGGGTGGTGGGAAAAATGCTGGCCCCAAACTGTACATACATAAGGCTCTGTGGCCACTGTACATACTTGAGGCTCTGTGGCCTCAGAGTGAGGCTTCAAGGTACCACAGTTGTAGAATAGGGTCTGTAGTGAACTGTATTACAGAACTATCATGTGGTGAAACCAGGAAAAACAACAGGGCTCTATATACAGCTAAGGAACTTCGGAAGCTCCCTCTAACCAAAGGATTTCAAAGGCTGCTAACTGAGAGGATGTGTCATTGTGTCTGGATGTGTCTGCGAGCCCTCAGAGGACAGAATAGAGCATCAGGTGCAGCATAAAGGGCAAGATGGGAACCCTAGGTGACACCTAAGGTCTATAGCACAAGGGAACAGTCAATCTCCTTTGTGACAAGGCAAGAGGCTTGGCCCCAGGGAGACCCAGAGCAGTGGACATACCAGCTTGATAAGGCAGTTGTGTGAGTTCAGATCCCGGTGGATGATGCACATGGAGTGCAAATAGGCCTGGAATAGAAGTACAAGCTGAGGCCAATGACCAGTAATTTAAGCAGATGCAGACTCTGGAGCTGAGGGCCTACTCTTCTCCCAGACCATCCCTACTCAGTTTCACAACCCAACCTGGGCCCTAGGGCAAGGGCCTCCTGCTGACACTTCCTTGTCCCAACACCAAAAGAAAGCCAAAGGCTGCCTGGGTTTCCCCTCTCTCCCTGCTACCACTTCCTGACCATCCTTTGTTCAATGACCCCAAACCAGTGGCTGCTCTAGACCCTCACTGCTCCCTCCCAAAGTCCCCAACCTTTACAGGCCCTGGCCCTTGCCTGCCCCCAGCCACTCTACCCATTTTACATAGATCCAGGCCACCTGAAGTGAGCACCCTTAGATGCACTGCTTCTAGCCCCCCACTGCTGCCATTCCACCTCAATCTCTGGCTTCCACCACCCTGGATCCTTCCTGTCTGTGATAGGGGGAGAAGTGACCTCCTGCTGGCCAGCTGGTTCTGTATTCCTGATATTCTTCTCTGAGACTTAGCACCCTCCTTGCTCTTCCCTGTGTATACTTTAACTTCTTCCTCCCCAGTGTTTTCATACAAGTCTCTGTTTGCTATCCAGAGCCTCCCCCACCTCTCCTGGGCCTCCACTCCTGGCTCTTCTCACTCTCTGAAGCCACTTCCTTTTCTTTCTCTTCCCTTCCCCAGGATATATATCTACCTGTCCCCTTCCCTCCAGTCCCTTGCAGTCCTGCTTCCATCCCATAGGCTCCTGGCTCTGCTCACATCCAGGGAGCTCTTCCTGAATGCTATACCTCTTGTGACCTGCCTGTTCTTTCTCCAAAGGCTGCCCACACCTCTCCCTTGCTACCCATTCCTGAGACTTTTGTGTGCCCACATTTTCCTTCCAGCCTCCTCAAAGCCACCTTCTCTACACATGCTGATCCCCACTAACTGCACACCAGCCTCAGCCAACACTAGCTCTTCCCAAACCTGTTTCCCCAACATCACTGCCCCCACAAACATCTGGTAAATGGCACCACCATTCTTCTAGGTACCTCAAACCACCCCAACTCCTCGTCCCCCTACCTCTTCTCCCTTGCTGCCAACCAGTCTCTCCACATCCTGCCTCCCAGTCTCCCATCCCTACTGCCATACCTTAAATTTGGAAATGTGAAATGTTTCACTAGCCCCTTCAGTCATCTCCCTGCCTTTAGTTCTCCTAAGTCTACCCCAACCTACTGACCACACAGGACTCACCTTCAAGAAACAGAGGTCTGCTCACAAACTTACTTGCTTAAATATCAAAATTTTACATGGGCCTTTTTGGCTTCCTAAATAAAATCCAGACTCCTTAGTCTGAAACACAGGGACCTTAATGTACCCCTAGACTAACACAGTCTTCACGGACCCCACATGAAGAGCAGTGATTAAAGTCTCAGGCTTGGGGTCAGACTGACTAGCCCTTGCTCTGTCCTTTCCTAGCACAGCTTTTCATCTGGAAACCGAGGTTGTCACGAGGAATGCACATACACCTGTTAGTCCCTCAGCTCAGTGCCTGGCATATAGAAAGCATTCAACAACTGTCATTGGTAACACTATTGTAATTGGTCTCATTCTTTCTCAGGTGAAAGAGACTATTTCCCCCCTCTCTCCTCCCAGGTCTTTGCTGCAGTCATCACCTCAACCTTGGGGCGTCTCTGCCAGAGAACTTTTATCCATTCTGACCTACCCTTCAGGTTCAACCAGAACACATTTCCCCCTTCCCTGATTTCATAGGCAATGAGGTTCTCTACTTACTCCAAGCTCCCTCAGCAGTTGGACACTGCTAGTTTGCCTTACCCATGCCCTGTCTGCCTTTGAAGATTTAGAGCTCTTTGAGAATAGGTTGTGAGCTAAGAAAAGGCAACTGGGGCAATTTCACAGGCACAGAGACGAGCTCAATAAATAGCTGCTGACTGACTCAGCCCATACAAGCTCCCCAGGATGGGGTCTTTGCCTTCCAGTGCCTGCCTGAAATCCCTGTACCTATCCTGATTCCTTATCACCACCTTGCCACCATTCCTACTGCTGGCAGGGTTGTTGGCAGAACTCACCATTCCAGAGGCGATGCCTTTGGCAAATCTGACCTTCTGCTGCCAGGGAAACGGGTCCTATGGGGTGGGGAAATGCTCATCAGAGACTGGGGGCCCTGTCCCGTTTGGGATTCAGGCCCCAGGGAACCACCTGTCCCGGTCCTGCTCAGCATGACCCTTTGTAGGCAAAGTAGCGAGAGCAGTATGCTTACCACACTGCGCAGAAAGTCCTTCAGTGTGCCCCCCTCAATGTACTCTGTCAACAGGTTCAGCTTCTTGTCCTTGTAAAGCACACCAATGAACTTGAGCACATTGGGGTGGTCCAGGCTGCGCATCACCTTCACCTAGGGGTGGTAGAGGCCAAGGAGAGTAGATGGTTACTTCCCACTATGTCTTCCTTACCCCTTCCCTCCAGGGAGTCAGTCTGACAAGTGCTACCTGCATCTCCTACCTCTAATCTTATGTAAAGGGGTAGAATACTTCTACATGGATAGGGATGCCTCACAGCCCTCATCCTTGAGATCCTGCCATTCTAGGAATTGTACAGGGGGGGAGCTGGAGTGGGAGGGTCCATGAGCAAAACAAAGGCCCAGAGAACTGGCAGGCCTGCCCAGAACTCCAGGCTCCTTTAGCAGGGTGTTCAGGTGGTGAGTATAACACCCAGTTGTCCTAAATTGGTCTGTTTTCATGTCCACCACTCCCACTAGCTGTAAGCTCCTCTGAACCACATCCTATTTGTTACTGTATCCCTTGTATCCAGATCATGTTGTCTTTACTAAATGTTCATTGAACAGATAATTATGCATTCCTCTAGTGCTCTTTTCTGCTCAGCTTTTTTTTTTTTAAGAAGATAGACTTTTTTTTTAATTTTTTTTTTTTAAATTTATTTATGATAGGCACACAGTGAGAGAGAGAGAGGCAGAGACACAGGCAGAGGGAGAAGCAGGCTCCATACACCGGGAGCCCGACGTGGGATTCGATCCCGGGTCTCCAGGATCGCGCCCTGGGCCAAAGGCAGGCGCCAAACCGCTGCGCCACCCAGGGATCCCTCTGCTCAGCTTTTTAAAAAGTGTTTCTAAAATAAGTTTCCTCCTGAAACTGTTATTTAGTAACATCTCTCTTCCAACAGTGACACCAAACTCCTAACTCCCACAACTCCACCTTCTTACCTCAGTCAGAAAAGTCTTCTGTGTTTCCTCATCACACCGAATTAACTCCTTCATGACCATCACTTTGCCCGTGGCTTTGTGTGTTACCTAATTACAAGGAGGGAAATTATTACTGGTGTGGAATTCTGGGGGACTATATGAAAATATATACAACTGGCCATCTCATCTCCTGGAAGACACACTGAGCCAGATCAGACTGACAGAGTTCACATGTAGAAGATACAGCACGAGGCAGTAGGGGCCTCAGAGGGGAGCATACCCTCTTCCTTGGAGAGCTGGGCATGCATACAGGGAAGGCGAGAATGCAGAAAAATAAAGTGTAGGAGGCAGGAGGGGACACTGCCAAGCCAAGCAGGGGCTCTGGTCATCTGACATAGGAGTGAGTCCCTTGGGTAAACAGAAGTCTGGGGACAGGAGGGTTAGTGCCACAGACATGCACCAGGGAACTGGGTGGGTCAGGGTGAGCTCTCAAGCCCCAATGCCCTGAAAGCTGAGACACATGGCTTACCTGACCCCCCCTCCCAGCTCTCAGCAGAGGAGGAGAAGAGAAAGAGAGAGAGGTTAGTCCCCAAGATGGTTCCACCAGGGAGGCAGGAGCCACTCCCCTGTGTACTCCCTGCAATATGCCCAGCACTGAGGCCTCCAGGCACCTAAATACACCTGCTGACTGGAGGTGGCAGGGCCATGGGCACAACTCATCCCAAACTAAGTCTCCAGGTTCACCAAGCTCACTGTGACAGCAACGCTACCCTTAGGTGGCCTGGGAGGGCAGGAGTGTAGCCTGGTGTCCTGTAGGGTGTGGAGTGAGATCATGTGATAAGAACTCCCCGAAAGGTGAGAGAGGGGTTGGGGGCAGAGGAGCAGAGCAACTGATGCCTGTGCTCACCTTTATGGCCTGCCCAAAGAAGCCCTTCCCCAGGACCTCCCCGTGGATCAGGTCACATGGCCGGAAAATCTGCTGTGAGTTGCTGCTGGAACAGCGGAGGGATTCTGAGCGGCTGATGTCACGGCTAAAGAGTAGGGGCTCCTTTGGGGAGCTGGGGCCAGGGGACTTGGAGATGCTGTTACTGCGCCTGAAGATGAGGAAAGAAGAGGGTAGGGCTAAGGTAGTCCTCAGAGACCTGCCAGTAAAACCTCGGAGGTAGAAATCTCAAGGCCACCTGACCACCCTACCCATCCCAAGGTCTATAGTTCAGGTGCTATGATGAGAGGAGGGAATTCTTACATCAGACAGATGTGCCATTTTGGGGCTGCAAACATCAGTAGTTTAAGTATCATAAAACAACATTCAAAGCAGGAACCCTGGGTACTCAGCTGGAATGACTGACTAGACTCAATTAGCTTGCAGTGCTCAATACATGATAGCACCATAAGATGGTAATCTGTCACTTTCCATGTCTGCTTGAGCTGAAGTGCTAAATGGGTTAGAGTGATAGCCTACCATCATCCAAAAAAAAGACCAAATGGGGGGCAACCCTGGTGGCTCAGCGATTTAGCCCCACCTTCATCCCGGGGTGTGATCCTGGAGACCTGGGATCGTGTCCCATATCGGGCTCCCTGCATGGAGCCTGCTTCTCCCTCTGCCTGTGCCTCTGCCTCTCTCTCTCTCTCTCTCTCTCTCTCTCTCTCTCTCTGTGTGTGTGTATGTGTGTGTCTGTCATGAATAAATAAATAAAATCTTAAAAAAAAAAAAAAGACCAAATGGGATTCTGGCTATTTTGCTCATCTTTGTACCTGTCTATATTTCCTGAATTTTAAAATAATAAGCACGCATGATTTTTAGAACAATAAAGCCAGTGTGTTTACATTTTTTAAAGCAGCCAGTAATAGTAATGGTTGATAACTATTACCAACTTCCTGAAGAAGGGACAAGAAGGCTGAAGTCCACAGCACTGCAGGTGAACTGCAACCCTGCAAACTTCTCTCCAGCACATCCTATTTCACTTGGACTACCAGAAAGGACCGCCCACAGACTTCTTAGTCCTTGCTCTTTTGCTTTGCCTCCCACCATGTCCACAGAAGCACACAAGGTGAGCTGCCTTCTCTGTTGCATAATGGCCTTTCAAATGTCTAAGCAGCTGTCTGGCCACCCCCATGTTCTCAGGCCTTCTCTGTCATCGGGCACCCTAACTCTACCAGCACACTTGTGCCAAGGCCAAGAGGCAGCAAGAAGTTCATGCCCAGCAACCTGTGGGGAGAGTCTTGCTTCCAACAGATGCCAGGTATCTGAAACAGGCCCTGATTCAGTCTGTTTGATCAGGAGGGTAGACAGAGAACTTGACTCCTAGTGATACTAACAACTCACTTAGTGCTGATCTTTTGCGGGCACTGTGTTACTCTGCATCCCTTTCCACACTGAATCCTTACATGGTGAGACATGCTACATTTGGTGAGACAGCTACAATTATCTTACAATCCCACTTCATAGATACAGAAACAGGAGCTCAGATACGATTTGTGAAGGGAGGAAGCTCAGCTCAAAGGCATGGTATGGGTGTGTTTGTCTAGAGAGCCACTGTTCCAGACACCTGTTATTTCAGTCTCCCTACTTGGTACTTGAATCCAGGGGGACTGCTCCCTCCCCATCAACCTGGACAACTCTGAGGTTTTGACTGCTGGTCCCTCAAATCTAAAACAGCTTGCATTAATCTCTTCCTTTATAGTTTTCAGTGTTCTTATTTATACTTATTAATCCTCTCTGTGCCCCTACTCTGGCCTCTGAGCCCCACATCTCCCTTTGCTGGTCCTTTAGGGGCTAACACTGCTGCTCCCTGTCCAGCTCAGGAGTTCAGTGGGCAGGGCCTGACTCTCTGGTTTCTAAGGAAACCTGGCAGGCAGCTGGGTCAGATCACACACAGGCCCTGGCTATGAACTGTGATTCCTATGGGGGAAGCTGGGTCAGCACAATCCTCATGGCCTGTCCCTGCCCAGCGGTTCCCCGCTGGCCTCCCAAAGCCTGCTCAGCCTCATCTGGGGGATAGGCATGGTCAGCATGATCAGGATAGGAGGCAGCACCTCAGGGAGCGTCTCCTTAATGTTCCTTCCAGATTTTCCTTGGTGTCCAGGGTGCTGAGGCTATGCGAGTGTCCGGTATTCTGCATGTGGGGAGAGAGCCGTGCGTCCAGCCGCAGCTGGTCCAGGCGCTGGGAGACAGGATCGTGTTCAATCAAGAGCTGAAGCGTCTGGCTTGTCTGGCTAATCGCATCCTCCACCTGTAGCCAAGAGCAGTGTAAAGTTGGCTCCTACAGGCTGTCCCAACCCAGGCCACCCACCATCAGCCCAGATGACCCAAGCAGTGTATGGCCAATGTTCAACTTGGCTACTGGTGGCCTCCAGCTGCCAGCGGCCCCACAGTGCCCTCTCCCTGGCATCCTGTCAGATATCCCATTTGTCAGGCCATCCCTGCTGCCCTGGGAATATGCCAGGCTGACACAGGAGGTCACCAGTGATCATAGGTTCAGTGGCAAGACAAAGAGATACACTGGGTGTGGAGAAAGGCAAAGGCCATAGCCTGATGCCTCAGAGGGCCTGTTCCATGTTCCACCCCCACAAAACAAACTGGACACACACTGTACCTCTTCCACTCGGAGTGTGCGGACAGGGGTCCCATTGATCTCTAGGATGCGGTCCCCAGGGTGGATGGCATTGCGGTTGTTGGGACTGATGTGCAACCGGTTGACCCTAGGCCAGACAAGAGTTGAGGCAGGAAGAAGACATCCTAAAAATGTACCTGACCAATTTCACTTGTGCAGGCAGGCTCGCCACATCCCAGGCTCCTACTGGTCCAGCTCCCAAGACCCAGACCACTCACTGGGGAAATGCAACGCCCTTTACAGGGTGCCCTGTCTCAGTGAAGGGCACCCTCCTCACTCACATAATGGCCTAACCCAGAGACTTGGATGGCATCTTCCCTATCTGGAGTTCTCTCACTGCCTCCCAACCCTATCTTCAAAAATCCTACCTTCATTTCATTACCATAGTTACCAACATCTTTCATCTGGATCTTTCAATAGCCTCCTAAATGGTCTCTATACACTACCAGACTTACTCCCTTCCCATTCGATGCCCATGCCAGCAATCCTTCTAGAACTAACCTGGTTGCATCACTTTGTTGCTTATCCTTCAAAAGACCTCCTGAGTCTTCATAATCCAGGCCCTACATGACTTAATAGCCCCTTTCTGGCTATTCCCAACCACCCAATCTAAACCAGACACAACCACAGACTCCCACCTCTGCACTGAACACAATTCCCTCCCCTTTTTATCTAATGAAGTTTTAGTGCAGATCTCCCCTCTTGCTGACTTCCCCAACTCTAGTAACTCTCTCACCTAGACTGCAAGCACCTAGTGCTCAGCACACAGTAAGTGTACAATCACTATTTACAGGGTTAGTAGTCACAGGTGCCTCATTAATGCTATTAGACAAACACAGACTCTTTCCCCATTTGGTCTTTGGCCTGGACCTAGGATGAAGTCTTAACTTCTTTCTCTTCCTTCCTCCATTCATTTACTCAACCAACAAAACAGTAATCAGTGAATATGTACTACATGCCAGGCACTATTCTAGGTCCTGGGCATCCAATACTGAATAAGACAAGTTTCACAAGAAACTAATCAGGAGGACAGATGATAAATGAATATACATAATCAAGCCAGATAATTTCAAAGAATAAGAATGATCTGAAACTTGGCACATGAAAGGTGAGCAACTCTGGCAGTAAGTATCTGGTGAAGCAACTTAGGCAAAGGGAGAGTAATGCCAAAGCCCAAGTGGGTTACAGTATAGTGAGCTCCAGGAGGAAGATATGAAATGGAGGTGAAGGGAGCTCTGCAGCCCCTGTGGCCCATCTATGGACTCTGTAACCGATCCTACTCTAGAGGTTCTCAAAATACTCACTCTTTTACTTGCACAGTGGTGGCATAGTTGGAGCAGGCGCTTTCCACGGACACCGAGAAGCCCCGTCTGCCCTCGGCGGTGGCTGGCATGGAGATGTGTGTGACAGAATATGGCAGCTGGTCCTGCACAGATTCTGTGGAGAGCCTCTCAAACATGGGGGCCAGCACCACCTCATTATGGCACTTCCCACTGGAAAGAGGAACATAAAGGGGGCTAAGATCCTGGAGACACACCTGAAAGCCCCCAGGAACCACTGCACCACGTGGCTTCAATCAATAGTACCCCCATTCCCACTATTACTGCCCTTGCCATGATTCCAGTTGGCCGCTCAGAACGAGGAGCCCAGGGTCTCTGGGGTCGGCTAGGAGTGTGGGTGTGATTGCCAGGGTTCTCTTCGCTCTGCTTCTGACTCACAGTGAGAACCCAATGCCCATCCCCTCTTTGGGCCTTAGCCTGACTGCTTTATTAATGGAGGCAATTGGACTGAGTTGCCTTTAGTTTTCTGGGATCCTTCTCTGAGAGCACTTCCCAAATTCTCTGGGAGGATTGCAGGCAGAGTGTCGTTATTCTCACAGTAGGTAAGGACAGAGGGCAGAGAGATGTTAATTTTCTTGCTTACAGATTACATATGTGATTCTAGACATTGCTGTGATGGGAGTCCAGTGCTCTGATACCCTTGTACTGCTTCTGTTCAACTTGCACTGCCACCTGGTTCTCTCTCTTGGCCACTCTTGTAGAGGAGGATGGACACCACCTTACCAGTAGAGGGTGGTGTGCTGCACCAGGGCATATGCATCCCCATCCTCAATGATCACCTTGCAGCTCATACAGGCAAAGCACTCTGGGTGGTACTTGAACTCCCCGGCCACCTGTGAAGAGGTGGGGGAAAAGGTAGACAGATGACAGACAGACGAAGTGAGTTGTCACTGTTGCTGGAGGGCAGGGGTGGATGAATGACCTCTAATCTAATATCTACAGGTCCTAGTCACAATCCACCTTTGCACTCCCTGCCCTAGAGCTTCCAGAGGATCAGATAGAGGTTTCCCTGTCATTTCTGAGATTACAAAAAACTGTTTTGGTCTTAGCCATGATAACAAGTTCCCAGAAGTCATCATCCTCACCAGAAAGGCACATTTCCTCTAACACAAGGTTGGCAAATCTGTAACTAGGCTTAAAGCCCTTTTCTGGAACAGGGAGGAGAGGTGGAACCTCTAACAACCCATTCCAACTCATTCCCATTCTCTGCACCCAATTTTGGTATATCTTCCCATCAACCTGTAATGTGCTCCCTTGAGCCATTCATCCCATTGTATTGGAGATCCTCCCTGCCCATCCACTCACCCACTCCCAATATTGGATTGTTAAGTTTTCACAGAAAAATCTTACCTGGCATTTGATTGGTACTCAACAAATATCTGTTAAATGATTGAAGAAATAAAAGGGAAGGCCTTGGCTGATGGAAGACTAGAAGATGAAAGGCCATGGGGAACCAGAGTGGACTCTGATGGCCAAGAGGGACTCACTCACCATGACGGGCCCTGTCATCATCAGAGAGCACCCATGGCAGAACTCCCCAAATTTCCCCCAGTAGTCCTTGTGGCAGTAAAGCTTCCCATCCTTCTCATAGTACCAGTTGGTGAGGGAATCCTGGCATTCTGAACACCTGAAAAGCAAGACAAGAAATTCTTCTCGATCCTTGGAACCAGGCTACACAGGCCATCTCTAGCTCCCAGGTTTAACAACAAAATGGACAGATCTCTCTTTGATCCAAAGCCAGGATGGGGGAAAGTACAGTTTACTGCTCTCCTCTCAAAGGAAAGTCAATTCCGAGTGGGGATCCCAGAAACAAGCTCTATATTGCCTGCCTCACTTAGCACACTAGTGTTGTTGTTTTTTTTTTTTTAAACATTTTTGGGTCTTGAAGCCCTTAGAGAATCTAGTAAGAGTCAAGAACCCTCTTAGAAAAAGACACATACAAGGAAAATGTGCATATTATTTAGGTATGGTATGTGTGTGTGTCGAAGACTGAACCCTGGTTATGGCTCCAGTTAAGAACCTCTGGTCTAGACAAGTATCTTGATGAACCAAAGCTCAATCATCTCTGTTCTTCAAAAACCTACCCATCGCCAACACCACTGCTGATGCAACAATTTTGTTAAAAAAAATTATGTTAAGGGTCGCCTGGGTGGCTCAGCGGTTCAGGGTCTGCCTTCAGCCCAGGGAGTGATCCTGGAGTCCCGAGATGGAATCCCACATCAGGCTCCCTTCATGGAGCCTGCTTCTCTGCCTGAGTCTCTGCCTCTCTGTGTCTCTCATGAATAAATAAAATCTTTTAAAAAATTATGTTAAGTGTTAAGAAACAATCAAGCAAATCCAGAATGTGGGTCATTCTGTAAGACTACTGGTCTTGATTCTTCCAAAAACTTAATGACATAAGGGGAAAAAGGTACAGGGATTAAAAAAGCCTGGAGACACAGCAGCCAAATTTAACACCTAAAACTAGGATTCAATTCTGGATTAATAAACAAAACAGGGATGCCTGGGTGGCTTATTGGTTGAGCATCTGCCTTTGGCTCAGGGCGTGGTCTCAGGGTCCCAGGGTAGAGTCCCACGTCGGGCTCCCTGCATGGGGCCTGCCTCTCTCTCTCTCTGTGTCTCTCATGAATAAACAAATAAAATCTTAAAAAAAGAAAAAGAAAAACAAAACAGCCTTGAGTGACATTTTTGGAACTGAGGAAATTTGAGTTTGGGCTATACATTAGATTATATTGTGAAATTACTACCCATTTTCTTAGGTACAACAATGATATTTTGGTTATATGGAAGAATTTTTAGAAGAAACAGTAAGGGTGAAGGTCAAGATATGTACAACCTACTTTTATACAGTTCAGCAAAAATAAAATACATTGTGTGTACATACTTGGAGAAAGTGACTTAAAGTCAACTAATCTAGGTGAAGCATACATGGGTATTCTTTGAACTATTCTTTCAATTCTATATATTTGAAAATTTTCAAACTAAAATGTGTGTGTGTGGGGTGGGGGCAAAATTCCATTAGCACTGTGCACGATATACATGTTAGACCCACAGCTCCTTTCTCCTCCAGTTATCTGGTTGTAAAGCTCCACTCCTCCATCAGGTTGAATGTGTTCTCGGGCCAAGTCTACACAAGATAAGCTTCTCATTTCTGAGTCTCTCAGCACCCAGAGCTAAGGGCTTCCAGGAATGCTGAGCCCATGCCATCTTTCTTCCCAGTGAAGATTCTATTCTTGTTGTCAAGACTTTGTACCACCCACCTGGCCACATCCTTTCTCCTGAGAGGCAGGATGGAGTGGCCTCTTAGTGTGAATCCTGACCCTGCCAAGTTATGACATCTTGGGGAAGTTAACCTCACTTCTCTGACCCAGTTTTCTGATCTGTAAAATGGACTACTGTGAAAATGAAGCAGTATCAAACTCTATGTAGGTTTCTGTAAAGGCTAAGTACACTAGGAACTCAGTAAGTGTTAACTGCTTTTAAAGATGATGCTAATGCTAGCTGCTCACATTATTTGCCACTTCCTCCACTAGCTGGATAGCTCTGGACAACTTTTCTCAGTTGCTTTTCCTCCTTGACAAAATGTGACTAATAGCATCCTGCTACAAAGAGCACTGTGAAGACTAAGTGAGCTAATGTATGAAGAAAGCCTTTTGCAAATTGTGAAGAGCAAAGCAAGGTATTATTATAGTAGCTTGCTAGGCACTGCAGATATGAGATAGACATGCAAGTTTCCCTACTCCACTTTCCAAAAGCTTATAATGAATTGGGGAAGAGAAAGTCTAAACAAAACTTAACTATGAAAGGTGAGAGATCACAATGGGTGCTACTACTTCTGGGCACTGCAGGAGGTAGAGGAGGGAGACAGGAAGGAGTTGAAGCAGCTACAGAAAGCAATTGAGCTAGGGAGGTCTAGAGAAGCAGGACCCTGAGGATCTCTCTCTATGGAGTGTCCAGTTCCCCCCGGCTGTTCAACACTGATAGCTTCTGCCATCAGCCATTGTTATCCTAAAGCATTTCTTCTTGTTCTTTGGATGATGAACTTCAGGGACTTAAGAGCTGAGTATGGCATGAAGAGTATGGACACGAAGTACCTAGAATGGTGCAAGAATTATGAATTATAGGAGATGGTGGGGAAGACCCTATTCTGGGCATGCAGCTCAAATTCCTCTCAACATAAAAAGCATAATGGATGAGGTCTGAATTGGGAAGAAAGAGGTCTGGTTCAAATTCTTGGGAGCTACATGCCCTCGGACAAGGCCCTTTCTCTCTGTGGGTATAGTTTCCATCTGTAAAATGAAGGAATTAGGCCATACCCCAGATGCCCCTAATTCTGTGCATATCTAGGTCTTTCCCTAAATGATCTAAGGTTCAAATTTCAGAATCACCACTTACCACAACTGATCTTGGGCTGGCTGCTTCACTTCTCATTTGTGAAATGGAGACATCACTACCTACTTTCAGGGTAACAGTGAGGACATTAAATCCACTTCTGAGTAAGTATGAGGAACCTAGCAAAGGGCCAGCACTAGAAGTGGGGGGCTTCCTTCTTGCCTCCCAGCTTCTGATTTGAAGCTCCTAGATTGTGAGCTCCTTGAGGACAGGAGCAGTGTCCCATTTACTGTTGGTAGATTCAGCACCTAACAAAGGGCACAAGAGAGTAAGCCCTTTGCAGATGTTTCCAAACTAAAAATGGTGGGAGTGGCAAGAACCAGCAGTCCAGGTGGGACTGCGAACATTCTGTGGCTCAGTCACCAAGTCTTGCTCCTCTCCTGTCTGCAGTGGAGAAGAGCTTGTGCATGTCTATTTGCACCCAAATGCAGTTCCTGGGCCCTGTTACACCCTCTCAATGGTATGTGTGCTGCAGGGCACAGGAGTACCAGAACACGTCCTCCTTTCTACTGCCAATATCCTGCTTTTGTTTGTTGCAAGTAGCCCTGGCCAGGCCCAGGAGAGTGGGGAGACAAACGAGTGCAGACATGCAGGAGAGCCACACCAGGCTTCTGGGAAGAACACCTGCCTGGAGAACGACATTACCAGTGCACACATCTGTGTCAAGGAATGCCTTTGAAGGGTATGGCCAGCTACAGAGTCAAAGTCAGCTGCTACAGGTGTCTGAAGAAACAGCTGATCGGAGGGCTGGTTATGGGTCTCTAAGCGGTTTTGTCAGAGAACACAATTGGTTCTCACTGGAGTGGGAGACTTAAGAGACTGAGTTTAGATATTAAGAAGTTACTGCTACCTGTTACTTGAATGCCAACCATATTTTAGGTGCTGTATGAGGTGCCTTACTTACTTGATCTCTAATCTTGATCACATCCTGCAAGATTACAGGATTATCCCTGTTCTATAGACCAGAGACAGAAAAGCAGAGTCAAGTCACTTTTGTAAAGTCACCCAACACATACACGATGGAGCTGGAGTTATAACGTGTGTGTACTTGGCCATTTTCACTAGACCACATCACCTGAGTAATGCAGCACATCCACTAAGCTGGTCCTCAGGATTTGCATCTGTGAAAATAAGGAGGCTGGAGCCCAAAGAGCTCAAGTCCCTTTGAGTGTTAACACTTCATAAGGTTTCTCCTTAAATCCAAGTACTGAATGTTAAATGGCACAATGATTCTCTTCCTTCCTTTAGCCCACAGCCTTGTGTTCCCCAGCAGTCTCTGCCTTTTTGAGAATCCAAAACACACTCTGGAAATTTAAGGTGCTACCCCCAAAAATCCCCCCTCAGATTCTTGGAGGCCACAGCAACAATATGTTTCTCCCAAAGCTAAGGCTTTTTTCCAGCTTTGTTTCTTAAGGTTTCAAGTGAAAGTCAAAATCTGCCCTAGCTGCAGGCTGCCCAAGAGCATCCAGCTTAGAAGTAGTGGAGTTGGTGGCAGAGCCCTAAACCGAGGTCTGAGGCATCAGTTACCACCCTCTCCCAAGCAACCAGAGTGAACAGAGCTAAAACCCTCCAGCCAGAAGAGATCATGGAGAGCCCACATGCACTAAGAACAATATCCAAAATTCCTTTCTCAAAGCACTATAGAGGGCCTGGGTAGCCACAAAGTGAACTGAACCTTGATGGTTACTTCAGTGGGTAGCTCAGATCCAAATTAAGGACTTAAAAAAAAATTATTTATTTTTAGAGAGATATAGTAAGAGAGCAAGTACACAAGCAGAGGGGAGGAAGAGGAGAGACAGAAGGAGAAGGAGAGAGAAAATCTGAAGCAGATTCCCCACTGAGCATGGAGCCTGATCTGGAGCTCGATCCCAGGACCTTGAGATCATGACCTGAGCTGAAATCAGTAGTCAGATATTTAACTGACTGAGCCACCCAGACACCCCTAACAATTCCATATTTAAGTAATCTCCATACCCAATGTGAGGCTTGAACCCACAACCCGAAGATCAAGAGTCACATGCTCTATAGATCAATCTAGCCAGGGACCCCAAACTTAGGACTTTGGAGTCAGCAAGGAACACACAGGTTAAAAAAAAAAGAAAAAAAAGAAAAAAAGAAAAAAAAAGATAATCAGGTTGAAATTCTTACAAATAACTCAAGACCTGGGTCCACATGCCTTCATTGCTTGCCATTTACTATCTATGTCACCTCAAGCCAGTTATTTCATGACTCTGGGGCTTAGTCTACACATCTGTACGTTGGTGATGATAAAATCTCATGAGTTTATGAGAATTACTTACAAATATCTCGAATGATCCTAGGCTCACAGCAGGTGCCCAGTAAATGTTCATTTCCCTCCCTCCCTTTTTTAATTTGAGAACACCAAGGGCAAAAGTAGACAGGTTCCTTTTCCTCCCATGCCTAAGCAGTATAGATCTGTATCTTGGCCCAGAACCAAACAGATTTCTGTGAGTAGAGAAGGTCCTAAAATGAATTATTTAATCAATTAGAAACCAATTGATTGTGACGCCTGGGTTGCTCAGTGGTTGGGCATCTGCCTTTGGCTCAGGGCGTGATCCTGGGTCAGGGGATACAGTCCTACATTGGGCTCCCTGCGAGGAGCCTGCTCCTCCCTCTATGTTTCTGCCTCTCTCTATATGTCTCTCATAAATAAAAACTAAAAAAAAAAAAAAAAAAGAGAGAGAGAGAGAGAGAGAGAGAAACCAATTGATTATTATCAATTCCTATCAATTGGGAAATAGTTACTGTGTATCTAGGATGTGCAAGACCAAACAGGCAAGGTGCTATGCTGGGAGAAGCCAAGTGAGACAAGACATGGGCCCGCCCTCACTCACATGCAAATTCTTCAGACCAAATGTTTACAGGTAAGTTTTCAACCTTAGGTAGTTGAAGTAGTCACTATTACAATGGATTTTCAAAGGTTAAAGAATAAGCCCTCCCATGTCCTGGTAAAGGCCTGGCTGGATGTTCATATTTAGTCTCTGGAATGAGCAGAAAGACTGTTGGGGAGAAGCTGCTTCCAGCCCCTTGCCTCTAAGCTCTGACTGGGCTAAAAAAGGGGAAATGGGCAGGTCTTTCTGCCACAGCCTGAGGGTACTGTGACCAGGCATGCCAAGTCCTCTCTAGGAACAGAAGGGTGGATATAACAGGGGTCCTGAGATGCTGGCCCACCAGAGCCCAGTCTCCTGCCACTGAATTTTCATTATTATTCCTTTTTCCTGCAGACCCTGTAGACTGAAACAGGCTGTCAATAAGACTGTAATTATTATGGACTATGCTGTTACCCTGCTAAAGAAAAATTAACCTAACACATTATAAGCCTCTGATCAGCAAGAAAGCAAGAAGTGTTACCAAAGTGTGTTGATTCAGTTCCAACCAAAAGCCAAGAAACCTGTATATTCAAGTAATTTGTGCCATCATACAAAAGTTAAGGGATTAGGAAAAAATAGAGAAGAGCTTGTGTGTCTCTGAGGAGCCACAGGAGTTGCGAAGTTATTACTCACCTGATCTGAGTCCTTCACTTTTCAGGTAAGAGAGTCCTAAAGGAACTAAAGCAGCTGCCAAATGTTACTGCTAAGCTGGGCAGAGTTAAGAATAATTTTTCCCTTTAAATGTGGGTTGCTTTAGAATAAAAAGATGCACTTGTTTTCTTCAAGAGGCAATGTGTAAATCAAACCCATTAAATCTATGTTGGACAATAAGGGAAATTCTATAGAAGAAAAATTCTTTAAAGATGTCAGACAAAAGTGACTCCTTAATTTACCTCTTCTGTAAATTCCAATTTGAGGCGTTTTCTTACTCGGGAGCACACCTATAATTGTGCCCCCGCCCCCCTCCACTAGTGGCATTGGCGGAAAACTGTGCACTCTGTTGAGCGCAGTCTGTCAGGCAGGCAGGGGGTGTACAGGGTACAGAAATTACATTCTTCATTCCCCGCTCCCTCGTCCCTCCCTTGTGCATTGTCACGCCTGATCATGTCCCCGTGGAATTTGGTTGCGTCACTTTCCTGCAACCACAGCCCTAGAACTCCTGTGGACTTTGTACTCCCCCAGACACTTGGGGTCAAGGACTTAATTTGTTTCACAGAATCTGGCAAGGGTTGTGTTCAGAAGCCCAGAAAGTCCAACTCCTATGCTCTGCAGTGGAGGAAACTGAAGCCCAGGGAGGGGACTGGCACCTGGTCAGAGAGGAGCCCTTGAGGGATGCTCTGTAATAAGGGAGGGAGCTGATGGTGGGAGCAGTATTCTGACCAGTGACTGTGGTGTTTGATTAGACTGATACCTGGGAGAGCAGAAGGTCTGGGTGGTCCCTCCTGTGGGGTACAGAGCCCTGCACGCTGGCCATCTCTCCAAAAGTGGCTCCAGGAATGCGGCCTCTCATTTGGGGGAGGTGAGGGGGCTAAAATGAGTCAGTACCCCCCTGACTCCAGCTGGGCAAACAAGAACTAGGGTAGAGAGGGAAGTCAGGTTCCCCAGAGGCACGGAGACAGAGCAGGACAAGGAATAGGCAAACCTGGGGGGGCACTGGTGGCATGACCCTCAAAAAGTCCAGGTTGAAGGGTACTTGGGTGGCTCAGTGATCTGGTAGTTCTGGGATCAAGCCCCACATCGGGCTCCCCATGGGAAGCCTGCTTCTCTGCCTATGTTTCTGCCTGTGTCTCTCATGAATAAATAAAATCTTAAAAAAAAAAAAAAAGGCCAGGTTCAGAGTTCATTATCTGCTCTAGCTCCTGAGTTATGTCCTGTCCCCAGAGATTAAGAGGGGCACAGCATTCCCTGCTCCTAACGGAACAACCCCTCCCCCAAGCTGCCTTTCCAGGACTAAGAGTAAGGGGGATTAATGAGGCTCTGGTCTAAACTAGTGGCTACTTCAATACTCGATTCCACATGGCAAAATCTGCTCTTAAACTCAAGATCAATTCACACTGGCTCTTCAGAAAAGAAGCTCTGCCATCCCTTCAATGTGCCAGGCAAACTATGGGGGGCCCTTTTATTGGACTCTCTCTGCTGGGAGAAGAAAGCAGAGACTGCCCTTGGAGGAGGTGTGAGCAGAGGAAGGTGCAGCCTCCTGAAGAATGAAAACAAACGCAGGAAGATGGGAAAGGCTGACCAGAGACCTCATAAGTTAACTCTGTTGAAGGTGGTTGCTTCCTTAAAATGGGGATACATACTGCCCGCAGGCTTTGAGAGAATTAAAGGATAAAGTGCCCAGCAGGATGCCTGAAGAGTCAGCACTGAGGACTAGTTCTCTTCTCCCTCCCCCAAATCCAAAGGCTTCCCACCACTCTACCAGGGTCCAGTAATTCCGTGAAACCACATGGTGTTCTGCTTTTCTGCTCAGAGCATGGCCACCTGACTAGTATCCTGGCAGCGAGGTCTGGGCATGAAGCTGGGTTGGGGAAGCCAAAAGGGAGAGGTCGACCAGGACCACTGGTGAGGGGGAGGCAGCCCTTGGAACAACAGGCTGCTCCCAAAGAATGAAAACAAGCCCCACCCTGGCCAGGAATGGCTCCATTCAGGAGGGACCCTGAGGGCCAGAAACCCCCTGGGGAGTTTCTGTTGGAGGTAGGGTGGGGCGGAGTGCAAAGAAAGGCAGGTCAGAAGTAGAAAGTTTCCACATCTCCCTCTGAGAAACCCCACAGAAAAAGGCCAGCAGAGGTCTCAGGCCTGGAGATCTGGCCTGTGGGGGGCGGGGGCCGAGGGGGGCCAGTAGTGGTGGCCAGAAGCTCAGGAACAGTCTAAAGCCAATTGCCCCACTCTTGGAAGCCCTGCCCAGTCTTTCCCTAGCAACCGTACTCACCTGGGAGCTCAGAACCCCTTAACGCCAGAGGCAAATGTGCCTGCCCTTAATAGAGAAAAACATTTATAGAGCACCTACTGTGTACCAGGTTGCCCACACCCAAGCCTTGCCAGCTTCTAACATGCTGTTTGACAAAACCTGTCCATCCTGCTTGTTGGGACAAATTCCTGGCAGACAGCACGGCCTGCAGGTAAGACACGTGAAAGCTGGAAGAAAGCACCCTATTTGTGCTCTTCCCCCGGAAGCAGTAACACCAAGAACAGGCAGGGTCACTCCCTCTTTTGGAGGCTCTTTCAGGTATGCCTGGGAAGGAAGGAGAGCCAGAGTTCCCCTGGAACCTCCGTCTGGGCATATCCCTCACCTCACCATTCCTAGAACATGGTGGGAAGCTTCACCAGGCCTATTCTGCTTGGGAAGAGCTTCTGCTAGCTTCTGCCTGACAGAAAACGGTGGTCAAGGGACACATGAAATCTGAGAAGCAGGTTTAGGGAGGCCTCTGCCCTCCCCTCAGGACCAGGGGCCATTAGAGGAGATGGAGAGGGGGACTCAGAGCCCAACTCACCGAAAGGGGTCTCTGGAGGTGAAGTAAGCCGGGATGGACAAGTAACTCCCCATCTTCTTCCCACACCAGATAAACAAGCTCAGCTGCAAACCCGTCTGGGAGTGCCTCAGGCTGGCTGCAGACGGCCACCATGACAGGCCCACGGCTCTCGGCACCTCTGGCTGTGGGCGGGCTGCCCAGGGCTCACCTCTCCCTCCGGAGAAGCCAGAGGGACGTGAGGATTCCGGGCCACTTGCCCCCCGGCAGATTCCTGCAGGGGGTCATGGCTGGGATGGCTCCTCCCCAGTTCTCGGAAGCTCCGGTGGATCCTCAGAACTCCGAGAGAACCACCTCTCTGCAGAGGCTACACACACACACACAGGGATTCCTGGGCTGGGGCCGGTGACTAGCTAAGAAAGAAGCGCTGCTGTCAAGTTAGCCTTCTTCTTCAGTCCCTCCCCTGATGAGGGAGGGAGGGAGGGAGGGAGGAAGAGGAGGGGCTCCTCGCGGAACCGAGGTGTGTGGTTGGAGCAGCTATTAGGAAATAGACCTTGCAGGCAAGGGGTGGAGCTGGGCTGGAGGGAGGCTGCAGGCTAGCGCCGCAGACAATAACCAGGACTGGCTGAGCGTCCATCTCTGAGCTCCGGGAAGGGCAGGGCAGAGAAAGAGAGAGAGCACATCTACCCCCAAGTGTCCCCAGCCTGAGGAGCTGCCCAAAGCATAGTTAATTCTGCTCGGAGGTGAAGGAAAGCACGGGATACCAACTCCAGGCCAAACCACGCCCCCCTGAAAGCGGTGTGTGTGGGGGGTGTCTCTTGGGCAGGGGAGGCAGGTCTACAGAGACCCAGGTCCAGAGAACTGCCCTCTAGATGCTTTGAGCTGGCATCTACTGGGTCCTGGCACTAGGGTCCCCATTCATCCTTTCCCTCTGCCTGGCCTGGGGACAGCCCCCAGAACTAGCCAACGGGGGCTGCCACTCCATTTCTGGGCAGAGCTATGCTGAGCAGGAGGAAACAAGGCCTAGAGGGTTAAGTGACACCTGAAGTTTCCCCATGTAACAAGCATTGTATAAGCACTCTCATATTGCTCCAAGATGGGAATTATCTCCATAAACAAGGAAAGCAAGGTTCAGAGAGATTAGCTAACTAACCCACGGCCAAAATACTAGTCAGTGGCAGGCCTGGGATTTAAATGTAGGCCCATGTGAGCCCAGAGCTCATTCTCTTTTAGGGGAAATATCTCCCTTAAAGCCTTTCTGCAAGTTGGAGACAGCACAAACCGGAGTCCAGGTCATCTATCACCTCTCTTTCATTGCCAGAACACCATCCATTGGCCCCAGGGGGCAGTGGTGCTGCTTCTGCTGTGGCCATGGCAACCAGGCTGAAAAATGGGGCATGATGGAGGACAAAGCTGGGAGTGCCTGTGCGGATGATGGGCCTAAGTATCTGGAGGGGCAGCCTGGCTGAAAAGCACCAGCTGAGGGGATGACCAAACCAGAGTCCACCATTAAGAAAGCCCCTTATCCCTCTGGCTGCAGGACTGTGAGGGGAGAAGCAAGGTTGCTGGATTGGGACACATCCAGACCCCTCTGTTGGACTTGAGCAGCTCTCTCCCACCAAGCACACATTCTTCTCTACTGAAGTCACCCTGTCACTGTGAAAGGAAAGTCTATGACAAAGGTGGTGGCTGGGTTACAAGGGAACATTTTCCTATTCCTCTACTGATTGGGCACACAGGTAACAATGAATGTGATAAGAGAGACTGTGTTTGCACCCTGTTATAAGCTACCATTTATTAAACACTTTGTATGTTCCAGGCTCTGTGTTAACCGCTCTCCATCTGTTAATTATCTGAGTTAAATTGCCAATATATGGGGTAGATGTTATCCCCATTTAACAGATAAGGAAACTGAGGTTTGGAAGGGTTTCATCAATAACCTGAAGACAAACAGCTGGTAAGTGGTGCAGCTGGGTTTCAAACCTAGTCAGTATGATTGTAGATCAGGAGTTTCCATAAAGGGCCAAAGAACAAATATTTTAAGCTTTGCAGGCCTACACAAATATAGACTCTGTCACTGCAGTGCCAAAGTGGCCATATATAAAATGTAAACAAATCGATGTGGCTATTTTCCAATAAGCCTTTATTTATAGACAATGAAATTTGAATTTCATGTAACTTTCATGTGCCATGAAATATTCTTTTGCTTCCCCAACCCCAATCATTAAAAAATGTAAAAATCACAGGCCATACAAAAACAGGCAATGGAATATAGTTTGTCAATTGTTCTGCAGCCAAGGAACTCAACCACTCTGTCTACTGCCCTAATAGTGAAGACCAGCTTTTGGCACAATTGCAGAACTCAGCCACATCTATCTACTGGCACACAGACACCACACTCCAGCCCCAGAGGCAGCCAGCAGGGAGTAAGCACTGGATGGGCACTCACCCTGCACCAAGCACTGCTCACAGCACTCACACATACAAATGAATTTAACCCACACTAGTCAGTAGTGCTATGCTCTCTCCCTTTTTACAGAGGGAGGAATTGAAGTACAGAGTTTAAATTGCTTGTATGAGGTTACTCAGCTGTATAAGTGAGAGAAGTCAGGATTCGAACCCAGGCTTTTTATACTGAGCTCCACCATCACTATGCTAGAGCCTGGTCTGGGCCTGGAGCCAGAATGTCTGGGTCTGAATGCGACAATGCACTGTGTGTAAGCCCTTGGCACAGAGTCTGGAACACATTAAGAGTTGATAAATGTTAGCTGCTAATATCATTAAGACTATTGTTACTACCACTATGAGCTAGCTATGTGGCCTTCAGCAAGTCACTGCCTCTGTCTGGGCCTTGGTTAAGTCTCTAAATAGCTTCTGGCTCCAACATTTGTCAACCCTATAAGGGTGCAGAGGGCTCCCTGTTTTCCTTGCATCTCAAGTTGAGTTTAAACCTCTTGAGCCAGCTCTGAGGTGATTGAGATCCCAACCTGAGGGCCACACAGGAGCCACAGAAGAGGAAGGTTGGAAATGGGAAACAACACACAGGATACGAAATGGCTCATCCAGCTGGAGAGCTGGGAGCTTTCTTTCTCCCAGCAATAGAGCCAACTGTTTCTCACCAAAAATCTATTATGTTCTCTTGTAATTTGATCAGGCAAGAAGGGGGCCCCAAATTAAGTCTGGAACTAGCAAATTATCTTCTAATTGCACCCTCTGATTTTCATCTGATGAACAGAGTGCAGATGGAAGAAAATGAAAGCCACAAAGAGACTGGGGCCAGGGAGCCCATGAGCATAACTCCTCTTGACATTTCACACAGCTCTGCTGTTCCAGCGGCGGCGGGTGCAGTGAGTCGGTGTCTAGGAATGTGAGCAGGAGGCTGCAGGCGTTCTCTATTCCCCCTCACTCAGCTTACAAAGGACTCAGTAGGTGGGTGGGTGTGTGGGGAACTAGTATGAGGGCTTCTCAATGCCATGAAAACCGCCTCCTCTTTAAAGAGGGGAGCAGCCTCTCCGCATGTCCTGAGCGGAAGCCCCTCCTAGGTGGAATCCATCTGACCTCCATAAATCCAGCCTTCAGGAGGAACCACTGAAGGACTGATCACCAGATGTGATAAGCTGCTGGCTGCTCAGACCCAAGCATGTGGTTCCTCAAGGACAACTTCAAAGGGACTAAACCACCCAGAACTGGGAGGTGAAAGGTCACATTGGAGACTATACATCCCCCTCGTGTCCTTGGATACTGGCCCTGGACGGAAAGCTGCTCTTCTAGGTCCCTAGGTTAGCAGGCAGAGGATTCAGCAGTTATGGATGCCAGAGGCAACTGCAAGGATCCTTGGATTGGCAGTTACAGACAGGATAAAATGGCAGGAGAGGTACTAATCTCCTGCACATTTCACAAGTTGAAAACCTGATGAGGAGCCAAGCAAGCTGATTCTGAAGAATCAGCTGAGATGCAAGAGGTTGAAGGCAATAGCCTTTCAGGCTGGCAGCCCCAAGTGAGCACTCCAGTGAGTAGTCCATGAATCACCAGGACCTCTCCTCAAAAAGCAGCTCTGGTCAGAAAAATCTGAAGTCCAAGGAACTGTGTTCATGTGGGGCCCTCTATTGGCCAGGAGGACTCCAACCAAGAAAGGGAGCTCCCGGGGACTCCATAGCTTCTGAGCCTTGAAAGGTGAGCATTGCCACCTTCCTCTACTGACCATTTGTCCAGCCTCTGCTCCTCCTCTCTTTCAACATGACTGTAGCAGTCATATTTCTAAAACAGGAGTCCTGGAAATTCCACTGATAGAAATTTTACCCAGATGGGGTGCCTGGGTGGCTCAGTCTGTTAAGCGTCTGCCTTCAGCTCAAGTCTTGATCCGGGATCTTGGGATCCAGCCCCACAGCAGGCTCCCTTTTCCCTCTCTCTCTGCTGCTCCTCCTATTTGTACTCTTTCTCTCAAATAAGTAAATAAAATCTTAAAAAAAAAAAAAGAAAAATTGCCCTGAGAAATATTCCTATAAATGAGCTAGGACATGGATCTAGTACTTTTTAATACTAAAAGATTAGGAACAGTCATGTATCCAATAATGAGTGGGCTAAATACAATTACACATGCTACTACAGATTATTATTTTTTTTACTACAGAATATTATGTAGCTGTTAAAAATAATGAGGTAGGGCAGCCCCGGTGGCACAGTGGTTTAGCACCACCTGCAGCCCGAGGTGTGGTCCTAGAGATCCGGGATTGAGTCCCATGTCGGGCTCCTTGCTTGGAGCCTGCTTCTCCCTCTGCCTGTGTCTCTGCTTCTCTCTCTGTGTGTCTCTCATGAATAAATAAATAAAATCTTAAAAAAAAATAATGAGGTAGACTCCAGGTACTGAAACAGAAGTTGTCCTGAGTGAGATGTTACATAAAAAAATCCAAGTATCAGATACAGTGTATACTATAATCCCACTGTTTAAAAACTCTAGGTGCATAATCCTTAGAGATCATCTGGAAGACTCCACTACTTGGTTGTTTCACCTTTCAAGTAGTGAGACATCTAGAGGCAGAGATAAAAATAGCATTCATTTCTACCTTTTTTTTTTTTTTTAGATTTTTTATTTATTTACTCATGAGCGACAGAGAGAGAGAGAGGGGCAGTGACACAGGCAGAGACAGAAGCAGGCTCCATGCAGGGAGCCCCACGTGGGACTCGATCCTGGATTTCCAGGATCACACCCTGGGCTGCAGGCAGCACTAAACCCCTGTGCCACCGGGGCTGCCCATTTTGATACTGTTTCCATTTTTTTTTTTTACACTTATGTGTGCTTTTTATTTTTATATTCATGAGAGACAAGAGAGACAGAGGTAGAGACATAGGCAGAGGGAGAAGCAGACTCCCTGTGGGGAGCCTGATGTGGTACTCGATCCCGGGATCCTGGGATCCTGACCTGAGCCAAAGGCAGGTGGTTCAACTACTGAGCCACCCAGATGCC